TAGCTGGCTACAAACCTGGTAAACCAATAGGATGTTGCCTTTTTTTTCTGGTTATAATGGAAATTGCAATACATGAAACGCTATTGTGAGTGTCGCTCCCACAGATCAGATTTCACCGGTCGCATTTTCCTTAGTCTAATATAGAGCGATACAGGGTTATTTCTCTTCTTTATCAAATTCAGAGTAGTCCAGGTAAATATTGCATACTTTATATAATTTTTGTGTTCTTTATTATTTTGTTTCACTTCTCTCATAATGTTTTTTTATACCATAAAGTAGTCATTTCAGAGTCAGTTATAGTCAATTATTTTGTTTCACTTCTCTTCATAATGTTTTTTTTTATACCATAAAGTAGTCATTTCAGAGTCAGTTATAGTCAATTATTTTGTTTCACTTCTCTTCATAGTGTTTTTTTTTTAATACCATAAAGTAGTCATTTCAGAGTCAGTTATAGTCAATTATTTTGTGAGTGTCTTGAGTATTGTTTCTCGTCACTGTTTTGCTGATGAAAGTTAATTGCTGCAACATCCAGTTCTCATTTGTGATTAGCTGAAGCTAAGTTTACTTCTTGTAAATTATATACATTATATTCTACTATAGTATATAGTATATATTGTTCTATATATTATATTACACTTCTCGTTTGATATATTTTCATGTGAAATTATCATGTTCTTGAGAAATCCTACAAGACACAAATCACACGGCTCGTGGCTCACTCAACCTGAATCATGCCATGTTTGTTTAGTTACTTCCACCTAGAAGACAAACTGCAGTTCACATCCAGTACAGCTCTGATCCTGACCCTGGCAGAACCCTTCAACACTGGGTTATCAGACAGCTTCTAGAACTGTCTAGAAAAGAAATGGTGTCTAGAAAGGCAACTCCCCCCACCCCCTCTTTTTCTCAAATGTTATGAACTAGAACAGCAGTACCCATCATTTTTCAAGTCATGGCCCCATTTTACAGAGGCAAACTGACCCAATACATTAAAATATTGACTTTTTTTAATAGGGTAAAGGAAAACACATCGAAAACAGATTTTTCCTGCATTCCACAATTAAGTATCTTTGCACGGCGCAATGACGTGATTATTGTTTTCTTTTTGCAACTGTTTCATAGCTCACCACTACATGGTGACCCCACCAAAAACCCTTTGTGACCCCATTTAGGATCAGGTCCCATAGACTGAGAACCCACTATCTATAATGTACTAAGTACAACCTTCCACATCCCACCGACTAAATCTGAAATGGGTTGCCAGTTAGCTGTAAACAACAAAACACTCAGCCACAAGCTGTGTGATTTGCATTATTTAAACGCTTCATGCTTTCAGTAATTTCATACATGAGTAATCAAAGCCACTATGTACTTTAGATTTGTTTTTTTTCAAGGAAAATGCAATTTATAACTGTAAATTCAACACCACTAACTGATACTTCTTATTTCTCTTTAAATCTAGGTCATCTAACCAAAATACAGATTACAAAAGTGATAACGATAACAATTATGTACCCCCCCCCCCCTACCCTTCTTCTTCTTAGTATTCACCGGCAGTAAACTTGGGTGGAAAGTTCTGGTTGTTTATTTTGTGTGCACATGACTTTTACAGCTCTGGCTTATTTGTGTGCAGACTGTTGGTTCCTTGATTCTCAGGCAGATGCATTCTGCAGGAAACACTCATAATCAGTAAATTTTGAATGAATACTCCTCACCTCATATGTGGCCCCAGAACCCACATGGGGAAATACAGACATACATAAATAAAACAGATAGTGACAATACACCAGCAAGCACTCACTATCTGTTTAGTTTTCCACAAACCAAACTGTAGAATTACAGCAGTAATCAATAATACAACCTTTACACTAAAAACAGAAACTAACGAAAATTTCTGGCAGTGTGAACCCATTAACAACTGTTCTTCAACAAACAGCTGCCAAACTGTCTGGACAAAAACAACAACAGAGAGAGACATAGTTATACGGTGATAAAAAGAAATGTAAAGTTATCAGATGGTACTTTTCTGTAAACAAAAACAGAACAAACAAACAAAAATCAAGTTTTTTTATAGTGCTTTCTGTATAATAAAATTTAAAAAACAGTAACGCATAGTTATCTGATGACGCAATTTTATCAGTTGATGGGAACGCCCGTATGCCTAAAAACTATTAAAGACCCAGATGCTAAAGAACTGTCAACTGATTATGTTAAAGATGAAGGTATCCATGTGTGCAGTTTGAGCAATTTCACTTACTAAATTACAAAGAGTTTGAATGTCAAAACAGTGACAAAACTTTATGCCTTCAAGTAGCTAAGGTTTACTTTTTTTTTTTTTTTTTTTGAGGGGAGGGGGGCAGTAAAGCCCTATCAGATAACTGGGTTTTTTATTTTCAACGTTATCATAAATAATGACACTCAAAACTTGGTCTGGCTCATGGGCAATTTTATCAGAGAAAAACTGTCCAGGGATGTCTATACTTTCAAAACAACATCCAAGTGTGTACAGCCTACAACTGGAATCAAATTGTGAGAAAGGGTTCAAGAAGAACGTGAAGTGATAAACAAGAGAAAGAGGGAATCCACTTCCCTGCTCTCTGTTTTACCTTACACGGCTGAGTCACTTTTTGTTGAGCAGTTGCTTTCCCACCAAGAGCATTGCATACAGATTAAAACAGCAGCACAACTGAACAATCAAGTCCACAACTGAACAATCAAGTCCACAACTGAACAATCAAGTCCACAACTGAACAATCAAGTCCACAACAGAACAATCAAGTCCACAACTGAACAATCAAGTCCACAACTGAACAATCAAGTCCACAACAGAACAAACAAGTCCACAACAGAACAAACAAGTCCACAACTGAACAATCAAGTCCACAACTGAACAATCAAGTCCACAACAGAACAAGTCCACAACTGAACAAACAAGTCCACAACTGAACAATCAAGTCAAGTCAATCAGGTCCACAACTGAACAATCAAGTCCAACAAACAATCAGAACAGATCAAGTCCACAACAGAACAATCAAGTCCACAACAGAACAAACAAGTCCACAACTGAACAATCAAGTCCACAACAGAACAATCAAGTCCACAACAGAACAATCAAGTCCACAACTGAACAATCAAGTCCACAACAGAACAATCAAGTCCACAACAGAACAATCAAGTCCACAACAGAACAAACAAGTCCACAACTGAACAAACAAGTCTACACTGAACAATCAAGTCTACAACTGACCCTGATACGTTCTGAGTGGGAGGCAAGCAGCTTAACCACTTGGCAAAGGAGATTCCCCACTATACAAACATTACTACACACTAACTGAATAAATGCATTTTTTTCCCTCTTCAAATTCTTGTTTAACTCGTTGAGTTCCAGGGGCTTTAGCCTCAGAAGCTTAAGGGTGGTAACAAGAAACCTATTAGTGGCACATCTTGAGTTCACTGGGCTTCAAGGTAGAAACCCACAAAAGTATGATACGTTCCTTGGGTCTGAAAGAGTTAAAAGATGGCTGAAGCTTTTGGCTAAATACTGCACTCATAAAGCTACTGTATCAACCGATGCTATATTACAATAAGCTGAGATTTCTAACCTATATTACAATAGAAGAATGTTTACACACAACTGCTTTAACGAACATTTGGCAAATCATTATATTTTACAGTAATACAGAGTTTGTCAAGGTACTTGATAAACTAGGTGGAAGCACTGAAGCAACTCAAAGACTTCAAAGCCAGGCTGAAGGCTGCAGAACAGCCAATGTGCTATAGTCATGTAGCAAAGTTAACATCCCCTGCACTTCTATTTTCTCTGTAAACTCTGCATTAGTTTAGTGATTCTGTCACCCCATTTAGTTTTCAACCATTGAGTTCTAACCTCATTGAGTTCTAACCTTATTTAGTTCTAATCTCCTTTGGTTCTAGCCTCATTGAGTTCTAACCTCAATGAGTTCTTCTTCCCTTGCGTTCACCAGCTGTAAACACTGGCGGAAAGTTCTGGTTGTTCATCCACTTCTGGACTGTAGTCCTGTTGCAGATCCTAAGTGTTAGATGTGCATCCGTTTTACAAATGTGACTTATTGTTTGCACACTGTTGGTTCCTTGCCTCTCAGGCAGATGCAGTCCGACTTGGAAGGAAGCTCCCAATTAGTGACTCTTGTGACATGCTTTTGGGTAGGCAGTGGGTCTATTCTTGCTTTCCCTATAATAGGGCCCGAGAACCCACAAGGGGAATTGAGTTCTGACCTTGTTTATTTATAACCCCATTAGTTCTAACCTAGCCGCTGGAACTATGTCGGCCACGCCCTTAGAATGGATAAATCAAGACTTCCTTACCAAGCCCTCATTTGGACACCACAGGGGAAAAGATCTTCGTGGAAGACCAAGAGAAACTCTACGTAGAACTATCATCAGGGAAGGCTCGCTCATGGGCCACTCAAACATCCAAGACTTACAACAGATTGCAAGGAACCGCCATGCATGGAGAGTCATGACCTCTGCCCTATACGCCGCACTTGACAGAAGAGGAAAGACTAACTAACTAAGTTCTAACCTCAGTTATTTCTAACTCCATTTGGTATTAGATCCATTTAGTTCTGAACCTATTTAGTTCTGATCTGCAAATGTACCAGAAAGAATTAAGTAGGAAGGCTTACATCTGAGTTGTGGTTCAGTTGTAAAAAAAAAAAAAATCTTTTTTTTGCAGCTGTCTCATTATTTTTAAGACACCTCATAAATTTGAACACACTGAGATTTCTGGTCAACTGTGGATCTCTACAAAAATGGCTGCATATTTAAACAATTTTTATCTTTTAACTTTGTCTTTATAACTTTGAAAGTAGCTGGAGCTTTTGAAAACAACTTATTTCTACATGCAAAAGATGTGATCTTCAATGTATGTAAAATAACATTCAAACAGTTTGCCCCCTTGATAAGAATCCTAAATAGGCAGGGGAAGAAACTGCACACACAACAGGGGGAAATAACCAATACTAGAGCTGTTTATACTCTAGACTGTAGTGAACCTTCTTAGAGATCATTCTGAAATACAGATACAAATAAAACAGATTAATAAGCAAGCAGCATACGCTACAAACAAACAAACAAACAAACAAACAAACAAACAAACACAATGAAATAGATAAATACACAAGGAGAGGTGGGAGAAACTAAATTTTTAAAAATATTTTTTTTTTAATGAGGAGCTGTTGTGGTGTAGTGGCTAGAACCTCACCTGCGGATCTGAAGGTTCTGACTTGTAACAATAGCTATCTTTGCGTCCTTTTTAGGACAAAATTTTTTGTTCTTTGAAGCCCCACCCTGGCTTTTGCCAGGGGCCGCAATATTTTAAAAAAAAAAGTAAAGTTCCCTTTTCACGCCTTCGGCGCATCGGGCATATGGGCAGAGCGTCCCATATTTTTACAGACCATCAGCAGCACTCTGTGGGTAATGTGGTCAGCATTACACCGGCTGTCTTTACTTTCCCAGGACAGTCCATCCTGGTACCCATTTTAGGCTGGGTCGACCTGCGACGTCCCATACCACGACAAAAATCCACGCGGCCTGCAGTGGGTTTCGATCGCGGTATGCTGGCTTACGAGTCGGACCCACCGCCAGCCATAAATATGGCCAATTGTCTGAACGCGGTTTCTGGGACCTCTCTACAGTGATCCTTATCCACATGGTGGCACTTTGTGTCATAGGGTGTTTATCGCTTGTGTGATGTCCTGGTGGGGTAGAAAGTCAGTTAGGTTCTGACAGAGTTTGACTTTTTCAGAAATAACTGTAGCTACCAGGTTGATCCAACCTTAAAGTACCAATTAAATTCCTGGGAAGTAAAGGCGACTGGCATCTGGCATGATACTGACCACATCACACACCGAGTGCCGATTGGTCTAAAAATATAGGTCTAGCCCTATACGCCCAAAACACCTGAAGGCGTGGAACAGGGTCCTTTTCTTTTCCTTTACAGTAAGAGATAAATAAGCTAATTTTAAAAAAGTTAGTCACATATCCTTTACAGGAAGTTGCAGAACCAACTCCAGCATTTCTTTGGCTGTTGTGGTTTTCTAGGCAAATTGTACGTTCAGTAGTTTGCCATTGCTTCCTGTATGGTCAGCTCTCGGTACCACTGTCAAAACCAACGCAAGACAAACCATCTGCAGCTGGGATGGAACCCGGTACCCCGGCAATACGAAGCCCAGTCACAATTCTTAAACCACAGATACTGGCAATAAGCTTGTAAGTAAGTAAAGGACCCTCTTCCATGCCTTTAGGCGTATAGGGCATATAGGGCTAGACCTATATTTTTATAGACCAATCGGCACAAGATGGGTGATGTTCGGCTCCAATAAACTTGTAGAGGCTGTTAAAAACAAACACGATAAAACCGATGAATATGAGAAATGTAAGTAAAAAGTTCAGAATCCTTTTATGCCAGTGGCCTGGGATACTAGACTCCTATTTTTATAGACCAGTCAGAATTTGGTGGGAGATGCGATCAATATCATGCTGGCCGTCTCCACTTCCCAAGATTCCCCCGTGTGGGTTCCGTGGTCCCATTATGGGCAAAACAAGAATAGACTCACTGCCTCCCCATGTGGGTTCCGTGGTCCCATTATGGGGAAAACAAGAATAGACTCACTGCTTCCCCATCTGGGTTCCGTGGTCCCATTATGGGGAAAACAAGAATAGACTCACTGCCTCCCCATGTGGGTTCCGTGGTCCCATTATGGGGAAAACAAGAATAGACTCACTGCTTCCCCATGTGGGTTCCGTGGTCCCATTATGGGGGAAACAAGAATAGACTCACTGCCTCCCCATGTGGGGTCTGTGGCCCCCATTATGGGGAAAACAAGAATAGACTCACTGCCTCCCCATGTGGGTTCTGTGGCCCCCATTATGGGGGAAAACAAGAATAGGGCCACTGCCTCCCCGTGTGGGTTCTGTGGCCCCATTATGAGGAAAACAAGAATAGACCCACTGCCTTCCCAAAAAGCATGTCATAGGAGTCCACTAATTGGGGGCTTTCTTTGAAGCTGGAGTGCATCTGCCTGAGAGACAAGGAACCAACAATCTGCATATAAATAAGTCAGACCTGCAAAAGAGATGCGCAGGCAAAACTCAGGTTATGAAGCAAGACTGAAGTCCAGTGGTGGATGAACAAGCAGAACATTTCACCAGAGTTTACAGCCAGTGAACATGGAGAAGAAGAAAAAGACTTCCCAAGAATTTACGTGGTATCCATTTTGGCTGGGTCGACCCAGAAGCCAAGCACAAAAGTGGCGCAAATAAACCAGACCAAATATATAACCTGAGACGGCAGCTTTGGCTGGCTAACAGCAGGTTGAATGTGGCTAATTTTTTTTGTGTAAAGCGGAATTGAATGGAAAGAAGCCAAGGCCACTCTGGCACTAAACAAGCAGAGGTTGTCATCAAAAGATGTCACAGAGACATGGATTTATATTCACGAACTTGGGGTTTGTTTCACCGACTGTGTCTTTCAGTTCCAGAATGCAACTTTTACATAGATTCTTGAGAATCCTTGCTGGAGCTACAGAGATCATGCTTTGCGTGACACTCTTGTTGGGTCGCTTGCCATTCTGCGGAGAGACTGGGCTACAACCGATAAAAGCCTATCCCATGTCCTCTCTAGCTTTGGTCCACTTGTTGTGGCTATTTCATTTTTTTTTTAAATAGAATAAGGTGGCCAACCCCAAACCCAACCCTACCTTTAGTCACCTTTTTCAACATGCAGTTAGAGTGCAGTGTTACTATTCTTTGCTTCTCATTAGGGTCCTGGTAATGCTTAAGTATTAGGTAAAGTTACTGGCCATAAAAAAATTGCTCCTGTCATTAATTCTTGGACAAACAGGTCTGCCTCTCACCCATTACACATAAAAAAAACAGATGACTTCTTCTAGCAAGTTTCTGTTCTATACACTTTCTTCTCCTTCTGCATTCAGGATGCTTAGTGTATTATTGTGGTTTGCAGCTAGGCTGCAATATCTGTGCTTTTTAGCCCAACACATCCTATTTCAGCCAACCTTTAATTAGTTGCCTTTATGGTATGCTTGTCAAGAGGCAATGGGTCTATTCTTACTCTTCCTGCCAAAATGGTTTCCCAGGAACCTATAAAGGGAGATACCTACTTTGAATATGTGTTGTCAAACACCAGCGTATAGATTCCTGCCTGTTTGGCCATCAGCTCTCCTCGTACTGTCTGTTTGTGGGAATCACATTTACACGGAGCCACAATGACTTCAGCTTCTGTGATGGATATCAACTCATTGGATCTGTAAGTCACGCTAAAAACTATATCCTGTTAGAGAAAAGGAACAATATATAAAAACAAAAATTGTTTTTTTAAAAAGCAAATTAAATCAGTAAATAAAACAGGAAAAATACAATTACAATTGTTTTTATACTTCTGGCAAATGCTAAAAGAATTTATTGATTTCTGAGAGATAAAAGATTCTTGTCCTGTCTGTTTTTCAATATCTTTCGTCTTCCTTTCTTCTTCGAGTTTTTTTCCAAATTGTATGTTTGCTCAGCAACTCACTGAGAGTGCTACAGAAGATTAGGACAGAGTACATTTGGAAACGGTGGCTCCATCTGATACCGCATGCAAAATCACCCTAATTTTTGTCCCAGGGAATGCTGGTGTGAAAGACAATGAGAGAGCAGATGCTCTTGTTGGCAGTACGACTATCAAAAATGGGCTCCCTATGTACAGGAGAGACATCATTTAATGCGTACAAGAGACTAAACGCTGTGAGGCTTTCTGTTTTGTGGAAAACGATTTTTCACTGACTAGACTGCATACCCTAGGTGTATACTAACTGGAGCGGTGTGACAGGAAAACTACGTGGGAGCCACCCGCCGTTTCATCAGCCAGAACAGAATGGGAGTTGTTAGCCTAAAAACATTTGGAGACATAATCAGGAGGAGATCGGAGCACTTATGGTCATGTCGGATGTGCGATAAAGATGATCTCAAAAAGGAACAATGAACAACAAGTGTGCTTTTTCTCAGGTGCTCAGCTCTCAAACTTCCTGCAAGAATTGTTTCTTTATTCAAACTCTTTTTCTGATTTCCCCCTCCATGCAACAGTCCTTGATATTTTGTTATCATGAATCTACCTCATATTCCTGTATCATTCATGCCCCATTTGCAAACATCTCTATACAGTAGATGACATCTTCTACCAATCTGTAATTCAGTATAGAGGATGTACTTAGAGACTCCATCTTCCATTCTCCAAAAGTGACCCAGCCATCCCTTCCATGTAAGAGACTCCATCTTCCATTCTCCAAGCTAGACCCAGCCATCCCTTCCATGTACTTAGAGACTCCATCTTCCATTCTCCAAGCGTGACCCAGCCATCCCTTCCATGTACTTAGAGACTCCATCTTCCATTCTCCAAGCTAGACCCAGCCATCACTTCCATGTACTTAGAGACTCCATCTTCCATTCTCCAAGCTAGACCCAGCCATCCCTTCCATGTACTTAGAGACTCCATCTTCCATTCTCCAAGCTAGACCCAGCCATCCCTTCCATGTAAGAGACTCCATCTTCCATTCTCCAAGCTAGACCCAGCCATCCCTTCCATGTAAGAGACTCCATCTTCCATTCTCCAAGCTAGACCCAGCCATCCCTTCCATGTAAGAGACTCCATCTTCCATTCTCCAAGCATGACCCAGCCATCCCTTCCATGTACTTAGAGACTCCATCTTCCATTCTCCAAGCGTGACCCAGTCATCCCTTCCATGTAAGAGACTCCATCTTCCATTCTCCAAGCGTGATCCAGCCCTTCCTTCCATGTACTTAGAGACTCTATCTTCCATTCTCCAAGCGTGATCCATCCCCCCTTCCATGTACTCTCCATACTATTCCTATATGTCTATAATTCCATTGTCTGCGTATTTAAAAGTATACCTTTATCTCTTTTACCACATCAGTTTCATCATAGAACATTCTAGTTTTCTTTTCACTAGGTTTTCTCTGGGAGAATTGACTTTCTGACAAATTTTGATTTACTGGAAGTTCTCTCTAAGCTCTTAGCCACAGTGATTTTCTCTTATGTCCTGTAAAGTTTCACCTTATCTCAAATTCTCTTTCTGATAAACTAGGCAGGAGCACAGATCTGGGACAAGTGCACACACACACATTATAATGATGTGCCAGTAGATGACCTCTGAGGCACCTTGGGACATGTAACAATCTGGATAGCCAAGGTAGTGTGTGTATGGGCTTGCATACATGACACTGGAACAATTTTATTATACAAATCTGAGCTAAGCCTTTTGCCTCGCACTCAGATGTGCTTGTCATTTCCCAATTTCGCTGGAGATCCATGGGGACTGCCAGCGGAACTATGGAGTTCATCTTGAGTGTAACATCCAGAGCAGGCAGCAGGCCATTCTGTGGGGAGGTCCAGAGAAATGGGACAAAACCTCCTGCCATGATGTCAATCTTCTTGACTTTAAATCTGGGATAAAACCTGTTGCAATGAAGTCAATCTTTTTGACTTTAAATCTGGGATAAAACCTGTAACAATGAAGTCAATCTTCTTGACTTTAAATCTGGGATAAAACCTCTTGCAATGAGGTGAATCTTCTCAACTTTAATTCTGGGATAAAACCTGTTGCAATGAAGTCAATCTTCTCAACTTTAAAACTGAGAAAAAACCTGTGACAACGAGGTCAATCCTCTCGATTCTAAACCTTTACAATTTCTAAAGAGCGTGACCCTGACCTTAGGATGCGAGGTGAACTCCCAAAGAAGCACAGTGTTCTTATGTTCGATGTCTACAGGCACAATGTATGTCTTGCCAGGTTTGATCCAGACTTCATTCTGTCTGTTGACCTCCCCTGACTTGAGGTCGTCAGCTGACAAAATCATGCTGCTGGTCATACTAGAGCAGAAAAGAATACAGGAAGAAAACTGGTTATAAAATATGAATCTGAAAGCAGTGAAGAAATTTAAAAAACTTAGTTAATAGATCAAACTCTGCAGGTTCAACCAATCAGGCCAAAAGCGCTCAGATACTCTCCTCAGTAAATCCTGCTGTGTGTAGCGGCCGATGACACCAGTTGTGTGTTGATTTATTTTCTTTGGCTTCTTGCACAGTGCTCTTGAATGGCCTCATCCCTTCTTAATAGCTGTTTTTGCAGTCTGGTTCCTGCTTGCAGATCTACAGTCATCACTTTATTGGCATAAACATATTTCTTGCAGAGAATTCTGTTAGTTACTTAGACGAGGTTTCAACATAATTGCAATTGGGTTTCCCCATACTTGCTCCGTTCCTGTGCCAGTGCGAATCAAAAGAAATGTCCCTCATTGTCGCATCTGAAAAACTGGTGAATAAACTATTAGTTCCAGAACAATCCAGAAACATGTGCACGCAGTAAATGCATATTTCAGTTGCTCGAGGCGGAAAAGTCAACATTCACCATCGCAAATGCAGTTTGTCATTGATGGAAGTAGTTGGGCACGATAAGTTGGTTAATATACACACACACGTAGAATACACACACGCAGAGAATTCTGTATGTCAGCCCAGTCCATTGTTTGTTCCCCCCTTCACAGTAGCCTTACCTACAAGCCTATCAGCTGATTCTTTTTCTCATACACTTGCTTGCCCTGGCCTATTAATGAAACTAATAATTTTCAGCTGTGACCACTTCAGAGATATCAGTCTTCTAGCCTAGCACACCACAATCTTCTAGCCTAGCACACCACAATCTTCTAGCCTAGCACACCACAATCTTCTAGCCTAGCACACCACAATCTTCTAGCCTAGCACACCACAATCTTCTAACCTAGCATACCACAATCTTCTAGCCTAGCACACCACAATCTTCTAGCCTAGCATACCACAATCTTCTAGCCTAGCACACCACAATCTTCATAAGCATACCACAATCTTCTAGCCTAGCACACCATAATCTTCATAAGCATACCACAATCTTCTAGCCTAGCACACCACAATCTTCTAGCCTAGCACACCATAATCTTCATAAGCATACCACAATCTTCTAGCCTAGCATACCACAATCTTCTAGCCTAGCATACCACAATCTTCATAAGCATACCCCAATCTTCTAGCCTAGCACACAACAATCTTCTAGCCAAGCATACCACAATCTTCTAGCCTAGCATACCACAATCTTCTAGCCTAGCATACCACAATCTTCATAAGCATACCACAATCTTCTAGCCTAGCACACCACAATCTTCATAAGCATACCACAATCTTTTAGCCTAGCACACCACAATCTTCATAAGCATACCACAATCTTTTAGCCTAGCACACCACAATCTTCTAGCCTAGCACACCACAATCTTCTAGCCTAGCACACCACAATCTTCTAGCCTAGCACACCACAATCTTCTAGCCTAGCATACCACAATCTTCTAGCCTAGCACACCACAATCTTCATAAGCATACCACAATCTTCTAGCCTAGCACACCACAATCTTCATAAGCATACCACAATCTTCTAGCCTAGCACACCACAATCATCTAGCCTAGCACACCACAATCTTCATAAGCATACCACAATCTTCTAGCCTAGCACACCACAATCTTCATAAGCATACCACAATCTTTTAGCCTAGCACACCACAATCTTCTAGCCTAGCACACCACAATCTTCTAGCCTAGCACACCACAATCTTCTAGCCTAGCACACCACAATCTTCTAGCCTAGCACACCACAATCTTCATAAGCATACCACAATCTTCTAGCCTAGCACACCACAATCTTCTAGCCTAGCACACCACAATCTTCTAGCCTAGCACACCACAATCTTCATAAGCATACTCAACAAATCCCTAAGGAAGCTTGCCCGAGTGAAGGTCGAACAAACAAACAAATTTTTAATTTCCAAAGGCTGACTGAGGTTATGATTATGCAGGTCAGTCTGACATTCTGCCCTTCAAGCAATCATCTTTCATACGACAACTGTATTTTATATGTCAAGCATATCACAATCAGTAGTATCATTTGTGTCTCCAACTAGGCTGTTGCTTAAGTTACCATCAAACCCTTCACAGACTACTTGTAGTCAAGGCAAAAGCTCCAGAATAGAAAGTGAGTGAAATGAAACAATTGAAACTTACAATGTTTATCCAAACACTAAGTACAGAAAAACTAGCATGTGAACCTTTCAGGCTAGCAGATTTATCCCAACAGCTCCAGAGGTAGTCAACCTCACACAAAGTTTATGCTCAAGTCGAACCCATTAACCTCTGACCTACCAAGAAGCATCATTAAATGTAATTAATTCCCAACAAGAGCAATAAATAATGGGGGGAAAAAATAAAAACATTATGGGCAACTCAATAGGCTAGGATAAGCTTTGGGAGAAAACTGTTCCAGTGGGACTAGGGGTTAAACATGGGAGCAGACGGAGGATTGATAACTGGATTAATTAATAGTTGATAAGCATATATTTAAAAAATAAGCAATGAAATAAACAGATAAAGTGAATACTACCAACTGTAGAATATGATCAAATACTAATAAATACTAAATGTGAAATAATATCAAATGAATGTGTTGTTAGTCAGGAGGAGATAAATAAGAAAAATATTAATTTAGATGGTAAGTGATTAAGTGGAAAATTAAAAAATATTCATCCGTATAAAAAAGATGTTTTTTTAAATGCAGGTTTGCTTTTCACACAATAGAGAGAGAGAGATAGAGAGAGAGAGAGAGAGAGAGAGAGAGAGATAGAGATAGAGAGAGAGAGAGTGAGAGAGAGAGAGATAGACAGAGAGAAAGGGGGGGGGGGGGGGATTTTCTTTTTTGCTGTCTCCACAATGGATATTAGCTACAATGGTTGCCCACCCCTGGCCTAGAATAATGATTCAGACATAGAGTTACGATCTGTCTGTGATAGATGACACCATCATCACATTATCTCTGGAATGGCAGAGAAACATCTGGTGAGTTGTATGGTAATGAAAGAGTCCAAGAAAGATACTACTGGCAACACAATCATGCAGTGCCTACTTGGGCGGCATATCTGAAACAGGCGACTGGTGGTTGTAGGCCACAATGGATCTCATCACTGCGTCCTGGTCCAAGATCTGGAACAGGGAATCCTCACTGACATCATCCTCCTCGGGGTCGCTGCTGCTCCTGGTGGCTCCAACCACAGCTCTGCCATCAGGTCTGTCGGACTCCAGGACGTCAGACACCACTGGGGATTCGGACATCAGCTCTGTGTCTTCTCTGTAAAATTCAAGCAGGGGGGGAGGAGGCATGGTCGTGAGGGGGAGAAGGTAGGGATGGAATATTTGTGTAACAAAACTTAAATCTCAATCTTTTCTGGTGCCAAGCTGCAAGGACACACCTCTGTGTTTCCTACATGCCTCTAAAGGAAATACCCCTATTAGTAGACTATTACAGCATGACTGTTCGGGGAGGAGGTGGGGAAAGGGGGGCACAGAGGGTCTATTCCCCCCCCCCCCCCCCCCCCCCCCCCCCCCCCCTCACCAAATGAAGCCCCATAACCTGCACAGTCAGCTTGCTTCTTCTTTTTCTCCTGCATTCATCCAAAGATGTAATTATGTTTGTGCGTTTACAGCAGGGACAATTTTCTAGCCAACTAGTCGACAGCCATGTCTTTTTCGGGCATTTGTTGCCCAAGTTTGCCTTTTTAATTCATTTAATTTATACTATATATGCAGTATATATATATATAGGTTAAGACACAGACCAACATCATGGCACAAGGGTAGTAACCCATAAGTGCTCCATTCTACTTCTGGCTCAAGCTTAAGTCCGAAGAATCTCAGGGCAGTGCATGAACTCTGTAGCACTGGCAAGAATCCAGAATATATGTACGTGTCTATAAACGAACACATGATTGATTTTTGTGTTTTTAACTGCCTTGACTACTGCCAACATTAACCACCTTTTTAGAGCGGTGTAGAACAGGGAGGTCTTGGAGCCCTGAGGATTTCAGGCCGTATGACTAGTGCTGTTGACAGGGTCTGTGCAGGTTAGGATTCTATTTTTACCCCCGACAGAAAAAATCTTTCGACAGGGATTCAAACCTGGGTCTCCCATATTAGAACTCAGCATTCATAACCAATCGATCAGCTGCTGCTTCTAATTTATAAAATTTAAAAAATAGTTTATAAAATAACAGTAAAGGACCCTTTTTTCCATGCCTTACAGCCATATAAGGCATATAGGGCTAGAGCTATATTTTACAGACCAAACAGAACCGAGTGGGTGAGGTGGTCAGCATCATGCCGATGGCCTTTACTTCCCAGGACTGTACATGGCACCCAGTCAATGCTACACTGACCTGAGAGTCCAGGTCATTTTTGAAAAAAAAAATGTTCGGCTGGGTCAGGAACCGAACCTATGACCTTCCGGTCTAGCCGCTACACCATGGCAGCTCTAAATTTATAATAAATGTAGCATATATTTATATGTATAGTATAATATATTTAATACATGTATAGTCTAGACAGGCATGTTTTGGTGAAGCAAGCTGAAGGCAAGGGAATTAAGCAATCACACATTTGAAAAACATAAATGTCACCGTTTAAAAGATAATCAACAGGAACTTACTTCCATGGAGCTCTCCTTCCACTTGCCTCATCTTGTGGCAATGACACTTTATCTGAAAAATTACAGATCACAAGATACAAGTTAGATGGACTATGCTGAAGTAAGCAGTGTAAGGTACTTTTATTTTCCTCGTTCATCCGAGTGACGTAACTGCATTTTGCCTGTTTACAGCACAACTATAATATTAAGAGAAGATACAAAACCGAACGAACAGTATATCAGCAAGCTTCACACTATAACAAACACAAACAAAACATGAACTTTGCGGCTATAAAGCCTTCATCAGCACATACATAAATCAAACAATACTACACAAATACCAGAAAACTTGCACCTTTCAGCCGACACATCCGTCTGCTTCAGGCATTTATTAATTTATTATCCAAGTCAGCCTTTCCGATTATTTTCATTGGACATTTTTAGCCTAATATGTGTGGTGACTTGGTCAGCCCCTAATCCTCAGATGATGTCCCTGGAGGAGATACCCAGGCCAGCAGTGTGCAGACTGGTTGCCCCTCAGGGAAAAGCAGGGCCAGAGCAGAAGCATCCCTCCCCCATCCCCCCTCCCAAACTGTAGGGAGTTTCCATAATTGCAGAGCAAATAACATGGAGCTCTGGTACTGGTTCAACCTAGGATTCATTATGTCTGTTTTCTTCTCATCAAAAATGGGGCTGTGGAACCCACAAGTTAGTCTTTCAATGTATGGATATCTGTCTGTCTGTTCTGCTGCACAGTCCACTTGATCCTAGACAGCCTTCACCATATCCACTTTATCATATAGTATCTATCCATATAGAAGAGTAACAGCAGAAAATCTTTCAGCCTGCTCATTACTCCACACACATGAATATCTTGGACAGAAGACCCATTAAATCCTCTGGATCTGAGTCCCATCAAGCGATAAAAGCCATTTTATGAGTTTAAACAAATAAAATTAAAAAAAAGAAGAATTATCACCGGAGCAATGGAGTAGGTGCACTGAGCCTGACACCTTCTTCATCAGCCAACAAAGACAGAGGGGGCAAAATATCAAAACCAAAATGAGTAATTCTATCTGAAAGCAACAATGTAAAATGAAAATGTTACCTGTCTTTTTAGGTGAGCTACTAGTTATGGCCAACCTCTCTCCGTGAAAATTATCTTCAACATTCTCGTCATCCTCATCATCGCTCTCAGCTTCAACCATGGAAGTGGAGATGAGAGCACTTCCCAGGCTGCTAGTGTGGTTGTAGCAGGGTTTGCACGCTCGGATCTTCCGGCTGTAGAGTAAATTTACACGAATATGAATACAAGACAGAATCAACTTCACAGCCACATGTTCACAAAATTTAAGATTGGCAAATCAGCCATGTGCACATGTGGACTGGCACCTGAGACAACAGATCATGTCCTTCAAGACTGTCCCAAACACAACAAATCAAGACACAACTTTTGGCCAAGAGAAACATCGGTGCAAGCCAAACTTTACAGGTCGCTGAAAGAATTAAAACAGATAGTGAAGTTAATGCAGAGACAACATTGCAGATATAGATAATCTATTTCAAGCAAACAAAAGAAGAAGAAGAAGAAATATCATCATTAACAACAGACAGCACAATTTATTTACTGATTTATTTCTAAAGCGATTTACGCTTCAACAAGACCAGTTTTTGCAGACAGATACTTGCCAATCTGCAGGGAGCATGCCTGTCTCCACCCTTCCTCAAAACTAGAGAGAGGAGACATCTTAGAAAAGCTGCTGCAGTAACAAGAAGAGACCAAATTTAAAATGAAGGAATTAGAAGAAGACTAGAACTGAAACCAGTCATACGGTTAAAGAGCAACAGGTGAGATGGTTTGACTCTATGCTCTGTTAGCAACTTCCACAGAGAGTGGTGCCAAAGAAATACAATAAACACACAGCAAAGCAAAGGGAAGACCACACACAAGATGGAATGACGGCATCAAGAACAGCCTTAAAGAAATGAAAATCAACAACTTATACAACACATTGGAAAGAACTCAAAGAATAAACTTATCCCCCCCCCCCTTCCAAGACCTCAATGAGATAACTACACAGAGGAGAAAAAAAAGAAGCTACATTTTATTGAACTGTTACTGTAGTGTGCACCTGACGAGATTAAGTGAAATATGCCAGGCAATAAATTGTGTAATCTATAGTTTGTGTCTTCTTTGTTTAAATTTACACTGGGAAAACAATGCTTGATTCTTCTTCTTCTTCTTCGTGATCACCGGCTGTAAACTCTGGCAGAAAGGTGCTGGTTGTTCGTCCACTTCTGGACTTTAGTCTTATTCTTAGGAGGGGGGGGGGGAGTGAATCTACTCTTATTTTGTCCCATTTGCCCCTGAAAAATGAGGCCCTACAACCCACAAGAAAACAATGCTTTGATTATATCATCATCATCAAGAGTGAAAATGTTTACAGGTGATGGAATCAACTTTCTTGCTCTAGATCAATGGTTCTCAACCTTACGAGTGCCGCGACCCTTTAATACAGTTCCTCATGTTGTGGCAAGCCCCAACCACACAATTATTCGCGTTCGCTACTTCCTAACCAATGATTATTGTTCTGCGATGGTCTTTGGTGACGGCTGTGAAAGGGTAATTCGATCTACACACAAAAATGCAGCCAGATGGGCTGAGTGGTCTCGAGGCATGGCGGCCGCCTCCAGTGCTGGAGGTCCTGGGTTCAGGCTGGGATTTTTTCATGTGGACTTCTAGTAATTTCCCTGGTCTCTGGGTGGTAAGATCAGATGCCCCTGTGTATTCTTGCACAAGTAAAAAATCTTGTGGCAGTTGAAAATCAAAAAGAGTAGCCTAATGGCGCTGCCCAGGCAAAATTTGGAAATAAAAATCTACCCAACGTGTTTCAGGTTTATCACCGGTGCAACAGAGTGTGTACTGCTCTGAGATTCTTCAGACTCAGACTTGAGTTAGAAGTAGGACGGAGCACTTATGGGTTACACCCATGTACCATGATGTTGATCCGCTGAATAAACATAAACATTTTTGCTGTTGAAATTTAATTACTGCAGTAAACTTAGTTTTACAGTAATCCTTGTACTGCTGCAGTTGCCTTACTTTTGCAGGTTTAAGTAACTGGCTGTAAAACTTGTAGTTAAAAAATAACAACAACAAAAACCATACTAACTCATCGTTGGGACTGTCAATCCAGAAATCTGAACAAGACCAGCAAAAGATCTTGCCACAGATTCGGCAGTGGTGCTAAAATTAGATTGAATAAGTTACAGACAGAAAAGTATGGCAAAGAGAACACAAAAATGACTGGATAACTAGTGAAATTATCAGTAATAAGTTGCAGTCAGAAACATATGGCAAAGAGAACACAAAAATGACTGGATAACTAGTGAAATTATTAGTAATAAGTTGCAGTCAGAAACATATGGCAAAGAGAACACAGAAATGACTGGATAACTAGTGAAACTATCAATATTAAGTTGTTATCATTAACAACATCCTGATAATCATTACCAGAATCATAATTTTAACTAGGAATTTTTTCTGATAAGCAATGTACTCTACTGTCACCTTTTTTTTTTTTACACTACACATTTGCTTACATCCATTTGTTTACACTGTTTTTAGACACCACATTTTCTTACAGCACATTCACTTACACTACATTTGCTTACAACACATTTGCTTCCACCCATTTGCTTCCACCACATTTTCTTACAACACATTTGCTTCCACCACCATCGCCTCCAATGCCTCCCCAAAGGGCAATATAAGACTATCATCTGGAAAGATGGAAAGGTGCCAATCATACATGAAAAGATGTAATATTTATTCTTCATTGTTCATCTCAGTGATGTAAATTTGTTGTTCATTTGAGATATTTGTGACTTTCAGCTGACACATCTGACTTTATTAGGCATTAGCTGTCCATGTTAGCCCTCCCAGTTAGTTTCATGGGACATTGCCACACCTCACTATTGTGTCATCATCCTTGCTCTCATGTGTTTTTGTTTTCAAGACAAACGAGTTCCCTGCTACAAGGAGGGCTAAGTAAGTGAGTGTAATGCTTCATCTTCCTGACAAACAGAGAGAATTCTTAACGACATGGCGGACAATGTAATAATTCACCTTTCTGACAAACAGAAAGAATTCTGAACAACACTGTCAACAATGTAATAATTCACCCTTCTGACAAACAGAAAGAATTCTGAACAGTACTGTCAACACTTTGCGTGGCGTCCGTGGCTTAGGCGTTGCAAGTCCGACTTGTAATTCCAACACACTGCTGGCTGCGAGCATTTTTATCATGGTATGGGGCATCGCAGGTCGACCCAGCCTAAAATGGGTACCAGGATGGCTATCATGGGAAGGTAAAGACGGCCGGCGTAATGGTCTGTAAAAATATGGGCTCTCTTACCATATGCCCGATTCACCAAAAGGCGTGAAAAGGGATCTTTAAGTTTACTTACTGTCAACAATTTAATGATTCACCTTTCTGACAAAGAGATAGAATTCTGAACAATACTGAAAACAATTTAATAATTCACCTTTCTGACAAACAGAGAGAATTCTGAACAATACTGAAAACAATTTAATAATTCACCTTTCTGACAAAGAGAGAGAATTCTGAACAATACTGAAAACAATTTAATAATTCACCTTTCTGACAAAGAGAGAGAATTCTGAACAATACTGAAAACAATTTAATAATTCACCTTTCTGACAAAGAGAGAGAATTCTGAACAATACTGAAAACAATTTAATAATTCACCTTTCTGACAAACAGAGAGAATTCTGAACGACACTGAGGACAATGTGTGACTCTGGCATTCTCCTGCCAACGATCTCCCAATATCCTCCTTTGCTCCGTCACAAGCTCATCCGTTTTATGCCACAGGATGTCTTTGTCTCTGTCAAAAATACAAAGAAAAGGATGATACCATATTTTTTTCTGTGTCAAAAATGTCAGGTATAAAATGACTCCAATTTTTTAGTAGCCCAGAATAAGGAAACAAATATTTTAAACACACTCTGTGTATGAGACAACTTTCAATTGTAAACTTTTTGGAAAACATATTGTATTATACATGGAAAGGAAGATGTCGAGGCCGTCCTCTAATAAGATATAAAGATGTGCTGTGCAAGCAGGACATGAATGATACAGGTACTGAGGTGGACTCATGGGAACAAAGTGCCAAGGACCGTGTTGTGTGGAGGAAGCACATCAGGAAAGGATTGAGAATGAAAGGAGAAATTACTGTAGATTGACAGAGTAAACACAAATGTTGACAACAGCAATCCTGTAATTGTGGAAGACTTTTCCTAATGTAGGTGGGTCTTGCTTGTCACTCATTTGTCACCTCCAGTGCCTCCTCAAAGGGCAATATAAAACTAAAATCTAGAGGTGGACGAACACCCAGAATCTTCTGCTGGAGTTACAGCTGATGAAAACAAAGAAGAATATGAAGAAGAAGAATAAGAAAAAGTAGTAGAAGAAGAAAAAGAAGAAGAAGAAGAAGAAGAAAAAGAAGAAAAAGAAGAAGAAGAAGAAAAAGAAGAAGAAGAAGAAGAAGAAAAAGAAGAAGAAGAAAAAGAAGAAAAAGAAGAAGAAGAAAAAGAAGAAGAAGAAGAAGAAGAAGAAGAAAGAAGAAGAAGAAGAAGAAGAAGAAGAAGAAGAAGAAGAAGAGAAGAAGAAGAAGAAGAAGAAGAAGAAGAAGAAGAAGAAGAAGAAGAAAAAGAAGAAGAAGAAGAAGAAGAAAGAGACGAAGGAGAAAAAGAAGAAAAAGAAGAAGAAGAAGAAAAAGAAGAAGAAGAAGAAGAAGAAGAAGAAGAAGAAGAAGAAGAAAGAAGAAGAAGAAGAAGAGAAGAAGAAGAAGAAAAAACGAAGAAGAAAAAGAAGAAGAAGAAGAAGAAGAAGAAGAAGAAGAAGAAGAAGAAGAAGAAGAAGAAGAAGAAGAAGAGAAGAAGAAGAAGAAAGAAGAAGAAGAAGAAGAAGAAAGAAGAAGAAGAAGAAGAAGAAGAAAAGGAGGAGGAGGAGGAGGAGAAAAAGAAACGCGAAGAAGAAGAAGAAGAAGAAGAAGAAGAAGAAGTAGAAGAAGAAGAAGAAAAAGAAAAGGAGGAGAAAAAGAAGGAGGAGGAGGAAGAGAAGAAGAAGAAGACGATGATGAAATATTTGGAAAAGGAATTCACATGTGTACCTTTGGAATAATGTCACAGGACAAAAAAGAGCCCTGAAAATATACTTACCTGAAAACTGCCAAACTGGCACGGAAGTTATTTTGACGTAGTACCAACAATATATTCTGACCACTAAACAATACTGTGTTCACTTACTGGACCAATTTACCCAGTTTTTTCCTGATCTGCTCATTGTCTGACTGTAAATTCTTGATTTCGGAGTCTCTTGCCTCTACATCCCGATCGTACGAGCGGCAGAGGTGGGTGTGATCCGTCTCTAGTCTCTCCCTTCTAGAAGTTTCTTCTGCTAGCCGGGCAGTGACCTACATGTAGAGGATGGTAAGGGTCAGTATTTGCCAGCAACCACTGTCATTTTAAACTAGTAAACTTCCTGAGTGGGTCTCTGGACCCCATTTTGGAGGAAAGAAGAACAGAACCACAGCCCACAAAAAAAGCAGGTTGTAAAAGACAATTAATTAGGGTATTTTCTTTAAAGTCAAAGTGCATCTGCATGAGAGGCAAGGAACCAACAGTCTGCATTCAAGTGAGCCAGATATGTAAAACTATTGTACACACAAAACTCAAGTTCTGGAACGAAACCAAAGTCCAGAAGTGGACAACTAACAAGAACCGAGGAAAGCTAAGAAGAAAGGTAAACTTTCCCACAATAAGCTTTATTTTCATACTGTTACACACATACAAATACACACACACATAAATGTATGTGTATACATACATATATATATATATATACATACACACATATATATATTTCTTCATTGCTATTCTGGTCCTCCTACCAACCCCACTTGTAAACTCTGCTGGAAAATTCTGCTTGTTTGTCCATTTTTGAACTTTGGTCTTGTTTCGAAACCTGAATTGTGTCTACATATCCATTTTACAGATCTGGTTTATTTATATGCAGACTGTTGGTTCCTCGCCTCTCAGGCAGATGCACTCTGACTTTGAAGGAAATATCCTATATTAAGCTGCTTTTTACAGTTTGCTTTTTAGTAGTGGTGATGAAGATGGTGATTACTGTTGTGGCAGCAGTGACGACAATGATAAGAATGATAACATTACGTGTAATTACATAGGCCCAGACAAAGAAAACATGGGGGCCCTTCCTCCCTATACATTATCTGGGAGGGGCGAGCATAAGTAGCACATGTCTGTTTATGTGCACAATAATAATAATTATTATTATCATTATGTGCTGAATGGCAAATAAATATAAAGATAGCATGTCGTAAGAGTCGACTAATTGGGAGCTTCCTTCAAAGTCGGAGTGCATCTGACTGAGAGGCAAGGAACCAACAGTCTGCAGGCAAATGAGTCAGATCAGTCAAACGGATGGAAATGCAACACTGAGGTTCTGAAACAGGTCCAGAAGTGGACAAACAACCAGAACTTTCCGCCGGAGTTTACAGCCGGTGAACGTGAAGAAGAAGAAGAATTATAATAATACAAGAATCTCTGAAATAATATAAAATGTATAAACAAATAGAGAACTTCTATAAATGATTGGGCGTGGGGGCCTACCCCCAACAACAACAAATAATCTGTCGGGGTTCAAGGTTTCGGGGGGAGGGGGGGATGGTTAATGAGAGCCCTAAAGACAAAAAACCCAAACAAACCTGCTGAAGATCTTTCTCCAATCTGCCACACTCCTCCTGCTTCAGGCTGAGCTGCTTCTTCAGCTCCTGTACCTGCAGTAAGGCACTTTTAACCTTTAACATACGGAAACAAACAAGCACAGACGCTATTTTATTTACTGGTTTGTTTCTTTGAAAAATGTCTTCACAGTTTTTAATAATTTGGAAACAGAGAATTTAGTTCACAAACTTCTTAATTAACTCATTACAATTGTCTCTGAAGATTCTGACATGTTGTTAGGCAGACACATAGAAGGAATATCCTACAGAAGAACAAAATAAACAAAGAAGTATTGCAAACATTTGAATGGAATGGAGAACTGACATCAGCACACATGGAACATTCCAACATGTTCTACCAGACTTCCTGAGTAGGCAATGAAGTGTTTCTATACTGATGGTGTCAGTTACAGCCTGATTTACCCTCTGGGGACGGAGCCTTATTTGGAGTTTTAGTGCCAAGAAGATGGAGCCTTCAGGAGGGGATTCTCTTTATTTACACATGAAAACCTTAACAAAATAAAGCGTTTAATTAACATATGCAAAAACTATATATATATATATATATATATATATATATATATATATATATATATATATATATATATACGTTCATGTAGGAAAATGAATGAACTAACATAATCTTTATGGATCACACTGACACTCAACATTTATTCAAATTAGCTATCCAATTCATATTTCTGCATGCAATTTTTTTAATTACTTAGGACAATCAGGCACAATTTTCTGATGAATTAAACCTGAATAAGTCCTAACATTTGTGTTTTGGGAAGGAAGGTCCTCCAGACACCTCTGGCACATGGTTCTACTCCTTTTCCTACCTCCTGCTATATTTTAGTTGCTATGAAGCAACAGCCCTTTTCATCATTATTGGGCACTAGTTATATGCCCCCCCCCCCCCCCAATCGGTGTAAAATTACAAAGCCGACACTAAACAGCCCATATGTACAAATGATGTGAGCAGCAATCTAGACTGCCTGGTACAAAAACCTGCCAGCCAATCTCATGGCTTGAATTATATGGGCAACCGATAGGTCATTTCGTCTTTTTATTTATTTTGCTGTTTGGCTAAGTCGTCTCCAAAGTGTTAAAAGTCGACTTTTTCCCCTGCAGGTTACAAATAGCCCAGACCGGGACTTGTTTCTTCTGTTTGTATGCAACAGTGTGCAGCACTGGCTCATTGTTTAAGCATAACTGTTTCAACGCTACTGTAACAGACATTCTGTCATGGGTACAGGCACCTTTTTAGAAACTCTGTGTGAGTACCGGCACCTTTATTTCCAGAAAGGAAAAAAAAAACCTGGTCCAGACACTCCCCCATGTGGGTTCAGGGACACAATGTCTCTAACAAGCAAACCTAAAAGGTGATTAACTAAGGAATTTCTGTAATCAAATGTACTGGATCACTGGATACACAGCCTAGCTGTAAACCACAACACAATGTGCCAGCAGCTCTTTTAAGGGTGAAAGGAGAAGAAGCCCAGACCTGCTCATTCCCAGATGAATCAGTTTCTCAGACTGTTGCACTGTCAACCTGACCTTTGATCCCAGGGGCCCTTCACTACCCCTGCTTTATCACAAAACAGCTCAACACCCAGAGCAGCAGCAGCAGTTATTCAACCAGCATGCCTGCACAAAAACTTGGATTGAAGAAGACTTTACTGAATAAGAAACAGGTGAAATAATTAGAAGATATTTTCATAAATATACAGAGCTCTTTGTTAAGGAATGTGCTTGAAGGAAATGGGAAAAAATGGAGGGGAAGCATGGAAAAGAAAGGCAATGTTACAAGTGGGCAAACAATATAGGATATAGAACAGATGAATCATGCATGATTTCAGCATCAAAATCTATTGAAACAGTTCTTCAGACAAGATAGGTAGTATGTGAGAAACAAAGTTTCAGATAAATCTATTGAAACAGTGCTACAGACAAGATAGGTAGTATGTGAGAGACAGAGTTTTAGATAAATCTTTTCAAACAGTTCTACAGACAAGATACATAAAATGTGAGAGACAGAGTTTGACATAAATCTTTTCAAACAGTTCTACAGACAAATAAGATAGGCAGTATCTAAAATGCAGTATCTGAAATCAATTTTTTCAGTACATGAGAGACAGAATTTGAGATAGATCTATTTAAATAATTTTACACATGAATAAGATTTATTCAAATACTTCAACATACAGACAAGCTCTACTCAAATAGTTCTACAGACAGACAAGATAGGCAATACCTGAGAGACAGAATGAAATAAATCTATTCAAATAGTTCTACACACAGACAAGATCTTTTCAAATAGTTCTACACAAAGACATGATCTATTCAAATAGTTCTACACAGACAAGATATATTCAAATAGTTCTACACACAGACAAGATCTATCAAAGCAGCTCTAAACACAGACAAGATCTGTTCAAATAGTTTTAACACAGACAATTTGGGCAGTACCTGAGAGACAGAATGAAATAAATCCATTTAAATAGTTCTACGCAGAGGCAAGATCTGTCAAATAGTTCTACATACAAACAAGCTCTATTCAAATGGTTCTACACAGAGACAATCTGGGCAGAACCTGAGAGACAGAATGAAATAAATCCATTTAAATAGTTCTACACACAAATAAAAAGTGTGATACCTGAGTGGAGTCGATATCTTTTGTCTTGTGCAGCGTCTCTAGTTCTCTCTCCAGCTGTTCTATAATAATCTCCATGTCGGACACTCGCGTCTTTAATTCCTGGCTATCTTTTCCACTTGCTTTACTCTATCAGTAAATCAAATCAATAAATGTACCATATTTTTCAGTGTATAAGACACCCTCATGTGTAAGGCAATAGGGTTATTGTCTTTAGCTTAAAATTAAGAAATATAGTAAAACTTCAATTAACCACCACTGTCCGGACCCGGGCGGTGGTGAATAACTGAACAGACGGATAACGGAAATCTCTTAACATATTAGTGATTATTGAGGATCATCATCAGTGCAGTCTAGACAGACCCATGCTGCTCTGAACTCTTCCTCAAAAGCTCCACAAGCATAAAATGACTGATGAGGCTTGATCTGTGTTGATTAATCAAGAGTCTTGTCCCCGTAGTGAAATTTCTTTCAGCTCCACCATCAACCATAGGCAGAAATACAGTCATGTTCTTTACCGTTTTCGTCTTCCTATTAAGTGTTGCGCATGGAATTGATAGCATCGCTTCTATCCAGTTCGGACCAGCAACTGCAACAGCAGTGTCTACAAGATGGTCTGCACATCGGTATGACATGGCACAAAGATGAAGGTTAGGCGAGCCATTGACTAAGTGTTCAGTGATGCAAAATCTGTTTTGTTTGACTGTCCCCATACTGCAAGGTCTGTTCCATGGGACTGTCCCCATACTGCAAGGTCTGTCCCTTGGGACTGTCTCCATACTGCAAGGTCTGCCCCATAGGACTGTCCCCATACTGCGAGGTCTGTCCCATGGGACTGTCTCCATACTGCAAGGTCTGTCCCATGGGACTGTCCCCATACTGGGGAGGAAAGGTCGAAGGACCCGTGAGAGGTCTGTCCCATGGTGACTGTCCCCATACTACAAGGTCTTGATGTCAGGTACCAGGGTTCGTGAAGGATAGATGGATGGTTAGAGAGACGCTGATGAATTCCTGTAGTGTGTGAGAAGTCCAACCAGGTCGCTAGATTCAGCCAAGCAAGACGAGCACGAGGAAGCGAGAATGTATGTGTGCGATAACTGGCGATTCAACGAATAAAAGCAAGCAACTCAATATTCGTTCATGCTGTGTCGTTTCAACTCACTGTTCGTCTGAAAGCATTGCAAATTAATACATGCCCCTAGAAGAGCATATTACATCCCTATACTGCAAGGTCTGTCCCATGGGACTGTCCCCATACTGCAAGGTCTGCCCCATGGGACTGTCTCCATACTGCAAGGTCTGCCCTATTGCTGATACTCATCTCCTGGGCTCAAGTTAATTCTGCAGTGTTCTTCAAAATGAGGGCCATGGCCCACTGATGGGCTGCTGAAAAGTCGAGGCAAACCAACAAAAAATCTCTGCCTAATCATGCAGTGTTGTAGGTAATTTTTCTCTTTCTGGATTGCATTACGTAGGATTATCACCTTAGTTATGAGAATCAAACAGGTGCAAATCCTGGAAGCCCCAATAAACTGCATAAAACAGTTATATTAGTGCATCCGACAGTTACGTAACAATATAGTTCTGGTGGTTACAACAGTTGGTTTCCTGTCTTTGGTTACCTGTCAGGGGAGCCGTGAATCATTTTCCCTTTTTTTTTAGGCCGTGGGTGTAAAAGGGTTGAGAAACACTGCTTCAGAGCATGCTGCAAACCAGCCTTGGCACATTTGTTGCCTGTTTGTGATCTTATTAAGCCATTTTTATGTTTAGTAGACAGTCGCTGCTTTCGGAATGGTTGGCATTTAATACTACTATCAAAATCTGTGCAAATCAGTCTGATGCCAAATCACCCACAGCGGGAATTCAACCAGGTATCTCAGTTAAATGTTATTTGTGACAAGTTGGGAAATACTTTAACAGAATCTAGACAAATTCTAGGAAGATGGCAGGAATACTGCAGCGGAATTTATGATATGAATGACAGTGAGGATATGAATGATATACATAAACCAGTAACAGTAGAGGCAGAACCTGAACCTTCATTAGATGAAATTTCATGAGCAATAAGGAGCCTGAAAAATGGTAAATCACCTGGATGTGATGAGATACCAGCTGAATTGATTAAAGCGGGAGGAGAAGAAAGCATAAAAATCTATCATGCATTATGTGAAAAGATATGGAAATATGGTATTTGGCCAAAAGACTGGAAGAGAACTATCTTCATTCCAATACCAAAAAAGGGTGACCTGAAATTATGTACAAACTATCGAACTATTGCCCTGATCAGTCATGCAAGTAAAATTCTACTAAAAATTATAATGAGAAGACTGCAAAAGAAAATGGAAGAAGAGATTAATGTAGCTCAGGCTGGATTTAGACAGGGAAGAGGAACAAGAAATAGTGAAAATCATAACTTATTTCTTAACACAGCAAAAACAAAGATAATGCATACAAACAAAACTGCCATGGAGAAGGAAATATATGTTAATGAGGAAAGATTGGAAGTGGTGGAAAATTTCGAATATCTTGGGTCACTGGTTACCAACAATGGTGACACAATGAAAGAAATCAAACGGCGACTATCAATTGCTCTTCAAAGACTAAAACAACTGAATAAATTATGGAATTGTACAGATAGAATTACAAAGGTCAGATTTTTAAGAGCATGCATCTTTCCCATTGCAACATACGCCTGTGAGACCTGGACACTTACTAAACAAGCGGAACAGCGCATAAATGCATTTGAATATAAATGTTACAGACAGGTTCTAAGAATATCTTGGGTAAAGAAAAGAACAAATGCATCCATACTTCAAGAGCTGAATATTGAAGAGGGTTGGCTAGTAAAGACAATAAAACAAAGAAAATTGAAATATTTTGGTCACTTGAAACGTCATGGAGGTCTAGAGAGAACAATAATGGAGGGGTATATGCCTGGGAAGAGAGGAAGAGGAAGGCCAAGGAGAAGATGGGTGCAGGATGTGGCAGATGATCTCCAGATGGGTGTATCAGACGCAGGACATCTTGCTCATGATAGGAAGGTTTTCCGGAGGGTTGTTATGGCAGCGAGGTTCCGCGAGGGACATGCTACTGAATGAATGAATGAATCTCGGAATTACAAACCACATCTGAACCTCTAACCTCTGATTATGATTGTTCTGAAAAACTCTGTTAGCCTTCTAATTACTCGTAAGGTGGCCATGACTAGGAACATGCTGTAATGATTAACTAACAGTTGAAAAGTGGCAGGCTTTGTTCACTTCATTTCAAATACTATTTTCTGAGTAAAAAGGGCTCCATACTGCAAGCACAAGGCCCTCAAAATGCTACTACAATTTCTGGCAAAAAGGGCTCCAAACTGCAAGCACAAGGCCCTCAAAGTGCTACTACAATTTCTGGCAAAAAGGGCTCCAAACTGCAAGCACAAGGCCCCCTAAAGTGCTACTACAAAGTTGTGAATACTCACAAGAAAGGGTAAAGTATCACAGCCTCACCTGAAAGCCATCAGACTGAATCATCTGTTCTGCACTCAGCTGGAACTGCAGAGAGGAGATCTCCTCATTCAAGTTCTCAATTGTCGACAGATACTTTAGACGTTCCTCTTCAAGTTCCTTCTTCAGTTTACTCACTGCATCACTGAGGAGGTTAAAGACAAAGTCCATAAGTCCATTTATATGTCATACACCAGAGTTTCTCATACTTTTTTTGCCGCAGCACTCTTGTCAGGTTAAAAAAAAACTGCGCGGGACACCTACCCTTAAAGCGGTTTAAATATTTAGGAAGAAAAGAAAAAAACAGTGCAAATTTCATGTTCAGTTGTTTTTAATGCGATGAATGAAACTGTTAGGATGAATTTTTCATTATTTCCTTTATGTTTATGGGAAGTTTAGTTAATTGTACCCTCAAATCACTTGAAAGTTGCTCCTGTGTGGGGTTTTTGTTTTTTAAATGTCAGTGTACATTGAGAATTCACTGCAGCCTTGTCAACAGCACTGTCTTCTGAATACATTTGCATCTAGAAATCTTCCTGGCTTCCTTCATGGTATTTCTGTTTTAAACTGCTGTCTTCGCTGATCTCACGCAGATTTTGAAAAATTCTTGATTATTGCCGCGGCACCCCTGGCACACGTTTGCGGCACCCCTGGGTGCTGCGGAACCCAGTTTGAGAAACTCTGTCATACACAGTCTGACAATAAAATACTGAGACTGACATTATTACTTCCAAGAAACGAAAGCGATTCACAAAGCAAAGTGTGTAATCCAAACAGGCACCATTTATCTATTATCTGGCCAAACTACAATGCTGCCCAGTCAGCAGATGACAATTAACCCACCAATCTGTTTTTTCTTCTGCGTTCACCAAAGACGTAATTGTACCCGTTTACATCATGACTGCGATATTTGTGCCTTCTAGCCGACACATCTGACTTCTGCAAACATTTGTTGGCGGGGTTAACCTTCAGTTAGTGAGAGTTGCTTTCTTACAAGCCAGCATAGGGCAAAAAGCTAACATTAAATGATGTTTTAAACTGAGAAAAATTAATAATGAGAGAAACCACTTGATGAGACAAGTTTATGAGCACAAAAAAATAAGTATTAGCTGACTCACACTTGGTTCTTTGACCATGTCACCAGGTGACTACTAAGTAAATGTAAATTATTACATCATAGCAGCTTTAAGAAAAGCCAATTTTTTTTTTGCACGTACACCCACCCCTATCTCTATTAGTTTTAGTAAATATAATCATACTCAAGGCATTCAAAATACTATGCAAGGACAAATAGAACATCTTCATTATCATCATCAAGTGCCGCCTTGCCAGCTGGCGTAGGGGTTCATGCATCTCCACAGATCTCATTTTTTGGTGTCTGGATCAATTCCACGGATGATATTCCTCCATACCACTGTCTCAAGCCATCCGGCATTGTTTCTCTTGGTCTGCCTCTGCCTCTTCTACCAGTGATCTTTCCAGTTGTCACAAAATGTTCCAGTGCTGCTTTTCTCATCAAATGACCAAAGAACTTAATTTGTTTTCTTCTCATCGTTGTATATAATGTTCTAAACAGAACAACTGCCATTAATGAGGCTTCTCAGGAATAAGTCACTGCAGTAGTACCGGTTTTATGGCATTTACGAGGACCGGTAACAGGCAGATGTGCCGGTTTTGCAGCCTCTCAGGGTGTTCATAAAAATCAGGCAGGGGATTGGTAAACAACCTAGAGTTCTTCTTTGGCGCAAACACTATAGCAGAAATCATTAAACACACAAAAACGCAGCAACAAATCCTCAAAATAACCAGCCATACCTTCCATCGACACTGTCAGCGTCTTTCTTTAAAGAATCAAGCTGAAGTAACAGGTCCAGCTTCTCCTTCTCTATCGACTCCAGCCTCTCTTTTTGATCATCAATTTCCTTCTCAACCACATCATATTTTTCTGTACAGAATAAAACAAATGTCATCTCAAAGACACTATATCACTATATAAAAGTAAAAGTATCTCAAGGACACTATATCACTATATAAAAGTAAAAGTATCTCAAGGACACTATATCACTATATAAAAGTAAAAGTATCACAAGGACACTATATCACTATATAAAAGTAAAAGTATCTCAAGGACACTATATCACTATATAAAAGTAAAAGTATCTCAAGGACACTATATCACTATATAAAAGTAAAAGTATCTCAAGGACACTATATCACTATATAAAAGTAAAAGTATCTCAAGGACACTATATCACTATATAAAAGTAAAAGTATCACAAGGACACTATATCACTATATAAAAGTAAAAGTATCTCAAGGACACTATATCACTATATAAAAGTAAAAGTATCTCAAGGAGACTATATCACTATATAAAAGTAAAAGTATCACAAGGACACTATATCACTATATAAAAGTAAAAGTATCTCAAGGACACTATATCACTATATAAAAGTAAAAGCATCTCAAGGACACTATATCACTATATAAAAGTAAAAGTATCTCAAGGACACTATATCACTATTTAAAAGTAAAAGTAAAGGACCATTTTTCATACCTTCAGGGCATATAGGGCTGGACATATAGTTTTAGACTAATCGGCACGCAGTGGATGTCAAGGTCAGCATCACGCTTGCCGCGTTTACCTCCCTGTGCCTGGTACCAATTTAACGCTGGGTCGACCTGGGAGCCAAGATCCTTTTTTTTAAAAAGTCCGGCTTTGTCAGGTCCTGAACCTATGACCCTCCAATTCACAGGCGAGCGTCTAGCCACTACAGGATCTTTCAGGCAAGCGTCTAGCCACTACAGGATCTTTCAGGCAAGCGTCTAGCCACTACAGGATCTTTCAGGCGAGCGTCTAGCCACTACAGGATCTTTCAGGCAAGCGTCTAGCCACTACAGGATCATTCAGGCAAGTGTCTAGCCACTACAGGATCCTTCAGGCCAGCGTCTAGCCACTGCAGGATCATTCAGGCAAGCGTCTAGCCACTACAGGATCATTCAGGCAAGCGTCTAGCCACTACAGGATCCTTCAGGCAAGCGTCTAGCCACTACAGGATCCTTCAGGCGAGCGTCTAGCCACTACAGGATCTTTCAGGCAAGCGTCTAGCCACTACAGGATCTTTCAGGTGGAGCGTCTAGCCACTACAGGATCCTTCAGGCAAGCGTCTAGCCACTACAGGATCCTTCAGGTGGAGCGTCTAGCCACTACAGGATTCTTCAGGCGAGTGTCTAGTCACTACAGGATCCTTCAGGCCAGCGTCTAGCCACTACAGGATCTTTCAGGCGAGCGTCTAGCCACTACAGGATCCTTCAGGCGAGCATCTAGTCACTACAGGATCCTTCAGGCGAGCGTCTAGCCACTACAGGATCCTTCAGGCGAGCGTCTAGCCACTACAGGATCTTTCAGGCCAGCGTCTAGCCACTACAGGATCTTTCAGGCGAGCGTCTAGCCACTACAGGATCCTTCAGGCGAGCGTCTAGTCACTACAGGATCCTTCAGGCGGGCGTCTAGCCACTACAGGATCCTTCAGGTGGGGCGTCTAGCCACTACAGGATCCTTCAGGCGGGCGTCTAGCCACTACAGGATCTTTCAGGCGAGCGTCTAGCCACTACAGGATCCTTCAGGCGAGCGTCTAGTCACTACAGGATCCTTCAGGCGGGCGTCTAGCCACTACAGGATCCTTCAGGTGGGGCGTCTTGCCACTAAAGGATCCTTCAGGCGGGCGTCTAGCCACTACAGGATTCTTCAAGCGAGCATCTAGCCACTACAGGATCCTTCAGGCGAGCGTCTAGTCACTACAGGATCCTTCAGGCGGGCGTCTAGCCACTACAGGATCCTTCAGGTGGGGCGTCTAGCCACTAAAGGATCCTTCAGGCGGGCGTCTAGCCACTACAGGATTCTTCAAGCGAGCATCTAGCCACTACAGGATCCTTCAGGCGAGCGTCTAGCCACTACAGGATCCTTCAGGCGGGCGTCTAGCCACTACAGGATTCTTCAAGCGAGCGTCTAGCCACTACAGGATCTTTCAGGCAAGCGTCTAGCCACTACAGGATCTTTCAGGCGGGCGTCTAGCCACTACATGATCCTTCAGGTGGGGCGTCTAGTCACTACAGGATCCTTCAGGCGAGCATTTAGCCACTACAGGATCCTTCAGGCGGGCGTCTAGTCACTACAGGATCCTTCAGGTGGCGCGTCTAGTCACTACAGGATCCTTCAGGTGGGGCGTCTAGTCACTACAGGATCCTTTAGGTGGGGCGTCTAGTCACTACAGGATCCTTCAGGTGGGGCGTCTAGTCACTACAGGATCCTTTAGGTGGGGCGTCTAGCCACTACAGGATCCTTCAGGTGGGGCGTCTAGTCACTACAGGATCCTTCAGGTGGGGCGTCTAGTCACTACAGGATCCTTCAGGCGAGCATCTAGCCACTACAGGATCCTTCAGGTGGGGCGTCTAGTCACTACAGGATCCTTCAGGTGGGGCGCCTAGTCACTACAGGATCCTTCAGGTGGGGCATCTAGTCACTACAGGATCCTTCAGGTGGGGCGTCTAGTCACTACAGGATCCTTCAAGCGAGCATCTAGCCACTACAGGATCCTTCAGGTGGGGCGTCTAGCCACTACAGGATCCTTCAGGTGGGGCGTCTAGTCACTACAGGATCCTTCAGGTGGGGCGTCTAGTCACTACAGGATCCTTCAGGTGGGGGGTCTAGTCACTACAGGATCCTTCAGGTGGGGCGTCTAGTCACTACAGGATCCTTCAGGTGGGGCGTCTAGTCACTACAGGATCCTTCAGGTGGGGCGTCTAGTCACTACAGGATCCTTCAGATGGGGCGTATAGTCACTACAGGATCTTTCAGGTGGGGTGTCTAGTCACTACAGGATCCTTCAGGTGGGGCATCTAGTCACTACAGGATCCTTCAGGTAGGGCGTCTAGTCACTACAGGATCCTTCAGGTGGGGCGTCTAGTCACTACAGGATCCTTTAGGTGGGGCGTCTAGCCACTACAGGATCCTTTAGGTGGGGCGTCTAGTCACTACAGGATCTTTCAGGCAAGCGTCTAGCCACTACAGGATCTTTCAGGCAAGCGTCTAGCCACTACAGGATCTTTCAGGCAAGTGTCTAGCCACTACAGGATCTTTCAGGCAAGCGTCTAGTCACTACAGGATCTTTTAGGCAAGGGTCTAGCCACTACAGGATCCTTCAGGCAAGCGTCTAGCCACTACAGGATCTTTCAGGCAAGCGTCTAGCCACTACAGGATCTTTCAGGCAAGCGTCTAGCCACTACAGGATCCTTCAGGCAAGCGTCTAGCCACTACAGGATCCTTCAGGTCAGCGTCTAGCCACTACAGGATTCTTCAGGCGAGTGTCTAGTCACTACAGGATCCTTCAGGCAAGCGTCTAGCCACTACAGGATCCTTCAGGCGAACGTCTAGCCACTACAGGATCTTTCAGGCAAGCGTCTAGCCACTACAGGATCTTTCAGGCGAGTGTCTAGTCACTACAGGATCCTTCAGGCCAGCGTCTAGTCACTACAGGATCCTTCAGGCGGGCGTCTAGCCACTACAGGATCTTTCAGGCAAGCGTCTAGCCACTACAGGATCCTTTAAGCAAGCGTCTAGCCACTACAGGATCCTTCAGGCCAGCGTCTAGTCACTACAGGATCCTTCAGGCAAGCGTCTAGCCACTACAGGATCCTTCAGGCAAGCGTCTAGCCACTACAGGATCCTTCAAGCGAGCGTCTAGCCACTACAGGATCTTTAAGGATATTATATATTTTACATATTTATGGAATCGTTAGCAATCAATCACTGTGGTAAATCACCAGAATGAAGGTCAGCTGCAAAAGATTTTTTTTAAATACATCCACAAATTAAAACACACTGCAGCAAATCAGCTCATTCTGTTAGAGAAATGCGAGATTTGAAAAAAGTATTGTCAACGCCTACACCACTCGCTCCACAAATGCTCGGTTCCCTCTTCAGTTCAGAAAATCCTGCAGCATCAAGTGGCTGATGACACCCATTCTGTGCTGGTTTATTCTTCTTCTTTGGCTTCATGCAGTGCTTTTGTTTGGCCTCACTCAGTTTAACTTTCTGTTCCTGCAGTCTGACCACACTCGCAGATTCACAGTCCTTACTTGGTTCTCACAAACATCTTACTTTATGTAGAGCATTCAGCAATACATCAGTGACATGTCTGCCCCCCCCCCCCCCCTCCCCACACCCGTAGTCTTATTTGCAAGCCCACCAGTCTTTGAACCCCAAAAATCTAAGTCTCTGTGGATTCAAACCCAGAACCTTCAAGCTAGAGCTGAGCATCTAGTTGCTACACCAGCATGGCTGTCCAAATGGAATGAGGTGAGGGGTTGAACAAACCACTGTGACAACTGGAAGGACTGAGAGTAAGACAGAGGTAGACAAAAAGAGAAAATGTTGCATGGGTGAACAGAATGGCGTGAAAGATGATCAATCCTCAAGATTATCAAGATCGGGCACACGCAAAAAACAGATGGTTGTGAAGGACATGGTTGCTTTTGATGCCAGCATGGCAGGTGGGGTTTCTTCTTCTTGTGTTTGGCCTCAAAAAGGCAGTTGGCGCCTTGTGGTTTACAGCTAGGCTGCAATACCTGCACCTTCTGGCCCAACAACATCTGATTTCAGCAAATCCCTAATTAATCGCCTTTTACAACATACATGTCAAGGCCCCCCCCCCCCCTTTTTTTTTATCAAACCCCCCCCCCTTCCTTCCCTCTTCCCATATAAATGGGGCCCAAGAATCCAATGGTGGGGGTGGAGGGGTGAATAATGAGTGACAACCTCTTACCTTGTAGCTGCATTAATTCCATTTTCAGATGTTCCACTGCATCCTTGGCTTCCACAAGGTTCTCCTCCAAGACCTTGGTGCTGAACTGTGTCTGTGACTGGTAACCATCAAGCTGTATGCCCAGCTCAACATTTTCTGCCTGAGCCTTATCCAGCTGAACTTTCAAATCTTCTAACTGAAGTTCAATTTGCCGTTTCTGCATGAGTTTCTCTTGAGCTTCATCTTCCGCCTGTTTCAGCGAGTTTTTCAGGTCAGTGATCACTCTCTGAAAGGCATCGTTCTCATTCATGACCCTGGTTAACTCCTCAGACATGGCTGTAAGTTCAGACGAAAGTGAGATCTTTTCTGCACTAACTGCCTCCAGCTGTCTGCATGTCGATGAAAGCTGCTCTTCAATTACTGTCTGCTGGGATTTAGTCTGTTCATTCATTTTCGAAGCCGAATTTAGATCTGCTAACAAGTGATCTCTTTCTTGTATTAGCTCTGCCATGTTAGACTCCATTATTTTGATAACAGTATCCTTTTCAGAAGAAATTTTAACAAGTTCTTTTTTTAACTCTTCTACTGTATTTTCATAATCAAGACACTTTGTTTCTAAAACTTGTATTTTCTCTGCAAGTTGTGCTTCCAAGTTTTCAATCCTCTCAGAATATGAGGCAGTTTCATTTTCATGAATCTCTTTTACTTCTTTGGCTGTAGATTCCAAAATGGAAATATTGTTTTTTAATCTAACTTCTGATTCATTTTTCTCAGAGTTCAGTTTCTGAATATCACTTTCCAGTTTCTCTATAATTTCACACTTTGAGGATTTTTCATTATCAAGTAATATTTTCAAATTGTCGACTTCACTTTTCAAGGCAGAAATATCCCTGTTTCTATCTCTGATGTCATCACTCAATGATTTTACCTTCTGCTCCAAATTGGCAATGGCCTCCCCTTTTTCATTTCTTAACTGTTCAATTTCAACAAACAAACTGGCAATTTTCTCTTCTTTTTCACCCTCTGACCTTTTAACCCCTTCCGACTCTTGTAACAATCCCATAATTCTGTTCTTTTCCATATTCATCTCTGACCTGAGATTCTCTTTCTCTGCTTGTAGCTGCTTGAGTTCTACTCTAAGACCTTCCTTCTCCGCGTCTGCACTCTTTTGGCCTGCAAGCAATTTATCAGCCTCAGACATCGCACACATAAGGTTCTCATTCACAGAGGACAGCTCATTTTTCAACTTCTTTATCTTCTCACTGGCCTCTATAATAATGATATCTTTAGCCTGTACTTCCTGATTCTTCTCATCTTGTGAGGCTTTTACACATGCCATCATTTCCTCAAGTTTACTATTCTGACTTTTTAATGTGTCAATAAGCATTTCTGCTGCTTCTACACTTTTGCTTAGCACCATGTTTTCATTTTCAGCTTCTGCTGCTTCTTTGCTGACATGTTCTAACTGACTTGCTTTCATATCAAGCTCCGATTTCATTCTGATCAGGTCTTCATCTTTCTTCTGCAGCAGTTTCTCCAGGTCAGTAGCTTGTCCTTCTGAACTTTGTTTCAAAGCTAAGACTTCTTCTTTCTTCTCCTCAAGTCCCTCTTTCAAGCTCACAATCTCCACTTCTTTATTTTTCAGCTGTAATAAATTATCCTCAATAATTCCCGATAACTCATTCATCTTCTTTTGCTTTTCTTCTGCATCAGATCTAAACATCTCCAAGTCCACATTTTGTGTCTCAAGTTTATTCTTGAGAATAATATTGTGTCTGTGTATTTCATCTAAGTTGTCTTGAAGTTCATTCTTCTCCTTCATCAGCTGGTTATTCTGCTCCTCCAGATCAACACTGTTGTCTGTTTTAGCCTTCAGCTGCCGATCAAATGAGCTGATCTCACTTTGTAAACTGTCCCGAGTTTCTGCTGAATCTTTGAGGGCTTGCTCCAGCTCTTTGACATGAGTTTCGAGGATGTTAACTCTATCCTGGTTTTCCAACTGTTTCTCGAGTGAATTCTGAGGAAATAAGACAACAAACGTGTGCGCAAAATTAGTCAGAATCTCTATTCCATCCATGATATCGACAAGTTTTCACAGGATAGAACCGAATAGAGGAATAGACTGCAAGCCTTATGTGAAAGTGGCTTATAATGATGATGATAACATATGGCTCAGAGGTTGTGAACACAGTTTCACAATCCTGACATAGCATGGTTCTAGGTTAACTGCACACAAACAAATAAACGTTTTTGCAAAGGTTAAGAGTTGGGTACCAAGCCCATTTAACATTGCGTCTTTCTGACCTCACACCTTGTATACATTATTTCATTCATATATCATGTCATTCATACATCATGTCATTTATACATCATGTCATTCATACATCATGTCATTTATACATCTAGTCATTCATACATCATGTCATTCATACATCATGTCATTCATACATCTAGCCATTCATACATCATGCCATTCATACATCATGTCATTCATACATCATGTCATTCATCCATCATGCCATTCATACATCATGTCATTCATACATCATGTCATTTATACATCTAGTCATTCATACATCATGCCATTCATACATCATGTCATTTATACATCTAGTCATTCATACATCATGCCATTCATACATCATGTCATTTATACATCTAGTCATTCATACATCATGTCATTCATACATCTTGTCATTCATACATCATGTCATTCATACATCATGTCATTCATACATCATGTCATTCATACATCTTGTCATTCATGCATCATGTCATTCATACATCATGTCATTTATATATCTTGTCATTCATACATCTAGTCATTTATACATCTAGTCATTCATACATCACGTCATTCAAACATCATGTCATTTATACATCTAGTCATTCATACATCATGTCATTCATACATCATGTCATTCATACATCATGTCATTTATACATCTAGTCATTCATACATCATGCCATTCATACATCTAGTCATTCATACAACATGCCATTCAAACATCATGTCATTTATACATCTAGTCATTCATACATCATGCCATTCATACATCATGTCATTCATACATCATGTCATTCATACATCTTGTCATTTATATATCTTGTCATTCATACATCTAGTCATTTATACATCTAGTCATTCATACATCATGTCATTCATACATCATGTCATTCATACATCATGTCATTTTTACATCTTTTAGTAGATCAATCTTAAACAGTAACAATGTATTAATTACAGATGTCTCTGATGTGTGTGCAAGAATAATCCCTCAATAATTAATTAATACCAGTTGCTTGTTGTGGCTGCATTCTAATGAGATAACTGAACATTTCATCTTCTGCTTCTCAATGAATTGTTTCCACAATCTGTCTGATGTATCATTTTCCACTGTGTCCCAGATTGTTAATTTGGCAGCTTTCCTCAAGCAGCTCATCTCACAGATTTTAATGTTACTAAGCCACATCATCCTCAACCAAACTTGGGAGTGAACAGGACATACATCCGACACTGAACCAAACTGAAGAGTGAACAGGATAACTGGCTGACACTCAACCCAACTGAAGAGTGAACAGGATAACTGGCTGACACTCAACCAAACTGAGAAGTGAACAGGATATACGGCTGACACTCAACCAAACTGAGAAGTGAACAGGATATACGGCGGACACTCACGGCTGACAGGATATATGGCTGACCAAACTGAGAAGCGAACAGGATATAGGGCTGACACTCAACCAAACTGGGGAGTGGACAGGATATACGGCTGACACTCAACCCAACTGGGGAGTAAACAGGATATACGGCTGACACTCAACCCAACTGGGAAGCGAACAGGATATACGGCTGACACTCAACCCAACTTGGAAGTGAACAGGATATATGGCTGACACTCAACCCAACTGGGGAGCGAACAGGATATACGGCTGACACTCAACCCAACTGGGGAGTGAACAGGATATATGGCTGACACTCAACCAAACTGGGGAGTGAACAGGATATACGGCTGACACTCAACCCAACTGAGAAGCGAACAGGATATACGGCTGACACTCAACCCAACTGAGAAGCGAACAGGATATACGGCTGACACTCAACCAAACTGAGAAGCGAACAGGATATAGGGCTGACACTCAACCAAACTGGGGAGTGAACAGGATATACAGCTGACACTCAACCCAACTGGGGAGTAAACAGGATATACGGCTGACACTCAACCCAACTGGGAAGCGAACAGGATATACGGCTGACACTCAACCCAACTGGGAAGCGAACAGGATATACGGCTGACACTCAACCCAACTGGGGAGCGAACAGGATATACGGCTGACACTCAACCCAACTGGGGAGCGAACAGGATATACGGCTGACACTCAACCCAACTGGGGAGCGAACAGGATACACGGCTGACACTCAACCCAACTGGGGAGCGAACAGGATATACGGCTGACACTCAACCCAACTGGGGAGCGAACAGGATATACGGCTGACACTCAACCCAACTGGGAAGCGAACAGGATATACGGCTGACACTCAACCAAACTCAAGAAAATTAAAGGACAGGCATACAATCAGACTGCTACAGGTACCATCACTACTCAGGCTGCTGAAGATGAGGACGGAGTACTTATGGAAATGTCAAGAATGCTGTGATACTGGCTCTTTAAGTTAGTCCTGTGTCCTTTACAGGACGTTGCAGAACCAACCTCAGCATCTGCTGGGTGTAGGTGGTTTCATCAAGCAATTTTACATTCAGTAGTTTGCCACTGCTAGCTGAACAGTCGGCTCTTGATACCACTTTTGAAACCAATGCAGGGCTGCAAACCACCTTCAACTGGGATCGACGAAGCCACAGATGCTGACTCAATTCATCAAAATGCCACATGAAAGAGAGGACTGGATTGGTCTTCACTGCAAATATTTCCCATGTGGGTTCTGGGGCCCCATTGTGGGGGGTGGGGAGGGGAAGTATAAATCCAATTCCCCCCCCCCCACCCCAACCTTCCCCCCAGCAAGCATGTCATAAAATTCAACTGATTAGGTTAGCTGAAGGACATATTCCTGAGAAGGAGAGGAACCAATAGTGTGCATATAAATAAGCCAGATCTGTAAAACAGATGTGCATGCAAAACTCAAGTTTTGGAACAAGACTAAATTCTAGAAGTGGAAGTTTGACCAGAACTTTCCACCCGAGTGTACATCTGTGAAGAAAAAAAGAAGAAGATGTAAATATCTGCTCCAGTCAAGACAGCAGATGTAAAAGTGGTCAACAAGCAGGTCACATACCTGGATATCAACCTTCTCCAGCCTGACACTGGACAGCTCTTGCTGCAATGCCGTGATGTGATGTGTTAGCCTGACCAGGGAATCTCCACATTCCGCATCAGAGTTCAGCTGAATGTTCACATGAATAAGTTAATTTATAACTACGTTCTCCAAGTGGGTTCTGGGGCCAGTTTTATTTGGAGGGGGGAGGGAGAGGGATAGAACAGACTCACTGCCTCCCTAGTAAGCATATCGTAAAAGGCGACTAATTAGATTTTTTCTTTCTCTAAAGTCCGAGCGCATCTGCCTGAGTGGCGAGGAATCAACAGTCTCCATACAAGTAAAAGTAAACCAGATCTGTAAAACAGACGTGCACATGGAATCAACAGTCTCAATACAAGTAAACCAGATCTGTACAACAAAGGTGCACATGGAATCAACAGTCTCCATACAAGTAAACCAGATCTGTAAAACAGACGTGCACATGGAATCAACAGTCTCAATACAAGTAAACCAGATCTGTAAAACGGACGTGCACATGGAATCAACAGTCTCAATACAAGTAAACCAGATCTGTACAACAAAGGTACACATGGAATCAACAGTCTCAATACAAGTAAACCAGATCTGTACAACAAAGGTGCACATGGAATCAACAGTTTCCATACAAGTAAACCAGATCTGTACAACAAAGGTACACATGGAATTAACAGTCTCAATACAAGTAAACCAGATCTGTACAACAAAGGTACACATGGAATCAACAGTCTCAATACAAGTAAACCAGATCTGTACAACAAAGGTGCACATGGAATCAACAGTCTCAATACAAGTAAACCAGATCTGTACAACAAAGGTACACATGGAATCAACAGTCTCAATACAAGTAAACCAGATCTGTACAACAAAGGTACACATGGAATCAACAGTCTCAATACAAGTAAACCAGATCTGTACAACAAAAGTACACATGGAATCAACAGTCTCAATACAAGTAAACCAGATCTGTACAACAAAGGTACACATGGAATTAACAGTCTCAATACAAGTAAACCAGATCTGTAAAACAGACGTGCACATGGAATCAACAGTCTCAATACAAGTAAACCAGATCTGTAAAACAGACGTGCACATGGAATCAACAGTCTCAATACAAGTAAACCAGATCTGTAAAACAGACGTGCACATGGAATCAACAGTCTCCATACAAGTAAACTAGATCTGTACAACAAAGGTACACATGGAATCAACAGTCTCAATACAAGTAAACCAGATCTGTACAACAAAGGTACACATGGAATCAACAGTCTCCATACAAGTAAACCAGATCTGTACAACAAAGGTACACATGGAATCAACAGTCTCAATACAAGTAAACCAGATCTGTACAACAAAGGTACACATGGAATCAACAGTCTCCATACAAGTAAACCAGATCTGTACAACAAAGGTACACATGGAATCAACAGTCTCCATACAAGTAAACCAGATCTGTACAACAAAGGTGCACATGGAATCAACAGTCTCCATACAAGTAAACCAGATCTGTAAAACAGACGTGCACATGGAATCAACAGTCTCCATACAAGTAAACTAGATCTGTACAACAAAGGTACACATGGAATCAACAGTCTCCATACAAGTAAACCAGATCTGTACAACAAAGGTGCACATGGAATCAACAGTCTCCATACAAGTAAACCAGATCTGTACAACAAAGGTGCACATGGAATCAACAGTCTCCATACAAGTAAACCAGATCTGTACAACAAAGGTACACATGGAATCAACAGTCTCCATATAAGTAAACCAGATCTGTACAACAAAGGTACACATGGAATCAACAGTCTCCATACAAGTAAACTAGATCTGTACAACAAAGGTGCACATGGAATCAACAGTCTCCATACAAGTAAACCAGATTTGTACAACAAAGGTGCACATGGAATCAACAGTCTCCATACAAGTAAACCAGATCTGTACAACAAAGGTACACATGGAATCAACAGTCTCCATACAAGTAAACTAGATCTGTACAACAAAGGTACACATGGAATCAACAGTCTCCATATAAGTAAACCAGATCTGTACAACAAAGGTACACATGGAATCAACAGTCTCCATACAAGTAAACCAGATCTGTACAACAAAGGTACACATGGAATCAACAGTCTCCATACAAGTAAACTAGATCAGTAAAGCAAACCTGCACATGGAATCAACAGTCTCCATACAAGTAAACCAGATCTGTACAACAAAGGTGCACATGGAATCAACAGTCTCCATATAAGTAAACCAGATCTGTACAACAAAGGTGCACATGGAATCAACAGTCTCCATATAAGTAAACCAGATCAGTAAAGCAAACCTGCACATGGAATCAACAGTCTCCATACAAGTAAACCAGATCTGTACAACAAAGGTGCACATGGAATCAACAGTCTCCATATAAGTAAACCAGATCAGTAAAGCAAACCTGCACATGGAATCAACAGTCTCCATACAAGTAAACCAGATCTGTACAACAAAGGTACACATGGAATCAACAGTCTCCATATAAGTAAACCAGATCTGTACAACAAAGGTACACATGGAATCAACAGTCTCCATATAAGTAAACCAGATCTGTACAACAAAGGTACACATGGAATCAACAGTCTCCATACAAGTAAACCAGATCAGTAAAGCAAACCTGCACATGGAATCAACAGTCTCCATATAAGTAAACCAGATCTGTACAACAAAGGTACACATGGAATCAACAGTCTCCATATAAGTAAACCAGATCTGTACAACAAAGGTGCACATGGAATCAACAGTCTCCATATAAGTAAACTAGATCAGTAAAGCAAACCTGCACATGGAATCAACAGTCTCCATACAAGTAAACCAGATCTGTACAACAAAGGTACACATGGAATCAACAGTCTCCATATAAGTAAACCAGATCTGTACAACAAAGGTACACATGGAATCAACAATCTCCATATAAGTAAACCAGATCTGTACAACAAAGGTACACATGGAATCAACAGTCTCCATACAAGTAAACCAGATCAGTAAAGCAAACCTGCACATGGAATCAACAGTCTCCATATAAGTAAACCAGATCTGTACAACAAAGGTACACATGGAATCAACAGTCTCCATACAAGTAAACCAGATCTGTACAACAAAGGTACACATGGAATCAACAGTCTCCATACAAGTAAACCAGATCTGTACAACAAAGGTACACATGGAATCAACAGTCTCCATACAAGTAAACCAGATCTGTACAACAAAGGTACACATGGAATCAACAGTCTCCATACAAGTAAACCAGATCTGTACAACAAAGGTACACATGGAATCAACATTCTCCATATAAGTAAACCAGATCTGTAAAGCAAACCTGCACATGGAATCAACAGTCTCCAAACAAGTAAACCAGATCTGTAAAATAGACATGCACATGGAATCAACAGTTTCCATACAAGTAAACCAGATCTGTACAACAAAGGTACACATGGAATCAACAGTCTCCATATAAGTAAACCAGATCTGTACAACAAAGGTACACATGGAATCAACAGTCTCCAAACAAGTAAACCAGATCTGTAAAACAGACATGCACATGGAATCAACAGTCTCCATACAAGTAAACCAGATCTGTAAAACAGACGTGCACATTGAATTCAAGTTCTTGAACAAGACTGAAGTCTAAAACTGGGCAAACAGAAGTTTCTACCGGAGTTCACAGATGATGAATGCTAACAAACAGGATAACTACATCACGTTCAGTTATTCAAACTTAAGATAAACTAGAAGTAAAGTAAAGATCCCTTTTTACGCCGCGGGCGCATTGGGTATATATTTTTACAGACCAATCGGCACTAGGTGGGTAATGTAGTCAGCATTACGCCGGCTGTCTTTACTTCCCCAGGACAGCCATCCTAGTACCCATTTTAGGCTGGGTCGACCTGCGATGCCCATACCATGATGAAAATCCACACAGCCAGCAGTGGGTTTCGATCACGGTACGTTGGAATTACAAATTGGACGGGCAACGCCTAAGCCACGGACGCAGCAAACTTAAGTTTAACGTTAGATATTTTTAACACGTCACCTTAATATGCATTCATCTTTGTGGATGTACATTAAAAACATAAACAGGCCATTCATATTCTATCACAGGTAGTGTTTCTCATTTCTGGAATGTCTGGAAAACAGTTTTCCTTTCAGTATTCCACTGTCAATTATTTCATGTTAGTGTTAAAAACTCAATCAGTCAATCATCTACTGTCTCTACAATCACAGTTGGCCGTCATGGAGCACCAACACACTCGATCTTTCATTTCAGATGTATACTCTTTCAGGCAGCTCTGTGTCCACCTTTTGGTGTCCTCCCATTCTATCGCTGTCTGCCTCTTGTTTGCCTGCCTTTAACTTTTCTGTCTAGTATGGTTTGTTTACGAGTGTTACATCTTTTAATATGCCAGAAAATTTAGCGCAAAATTTTTCTTCAGAAGCTCTCTTTTCATCCTCTTGAGAACCTTTGTTTTTTACTGGGTTTTTTTTCCTCCATGAAATATGACCTATTCTTTTGAAAATCCAAATACTCGATGGACATAAAGGTAATTACATAACTAAAGTAGCAAAATATTTTACGTCAATTCAGGAATGTCACCAATTATATGTTGTGCCATATTTGTGTAGACCAATCGGCATTTGGTGGCGTATGTGGCCCCTATCATGCTGACCATCTTTACTTCCCATGACATTACCCGGTGAGAATTTTAAACTGTGTCAACCTGGGAGGTGAAGGCCAATTTTGAAGAAAAAAAAATCTGCCTTAGTGCAGATGTGAATCCAGGACTTTCAGGCCAGTGTGACGTGCGGCGACTTCAGGCTGATGTGAGGCGTACCAAAGATGAATTAGGGCGTCGTTATGTAACAAATGGCATCAACAACTTACAATGCCACCGGCCAAGTGTAACAGAACATGATGAATGTTAAAGGCTTCCAAACGTTGTTGAACGATAAACTCTCTTAAAAGGTTCCATTGTTGTATTGACAATAGCAATGATCAACAGAAGGAGAAAATGTGCAATTAACAATCCAAACACACCAACCGAGCCTGCTCGTACATCAACTGACTTCCTAACAAATGACGGGTCGCAGTCCGACCTTGGAAATCCAGACAGTCACATCGATTTCGGTCCGACCTTGGAAATCCGGACAATCATCTCGATTTTCTCTTCTGCGGTCTGAACAAGGTAATATAAGTAAACCGGCTTACTGCCGAACGTAGTAGACAATATACCAGCTATCTGCTGAGGTTTATGGTGGAGTCCCGAGGTAGAGTGTCCTCAAGGATCCAACTTTGATAACCATTCCTTAAGTGGCATCCCGGGGTAAAGCGTCCTCAAGGATCCACACGTCTGTCTCCTTCAGACTGTAAACATTGAATGCTCTGACAACAACAATACCTTAACTACATTATGTATTGTTTTGACGTTTTATTTGCTCACTCAGTACGGGTGCGTTCTAGTGCACATAGTGCACATCCTCACACCTCGCCACTATGTTTTTTGTGGGGAAGGGAGGGGAGGGGGGGGGGGGGAAAGAGAGCTACCAAAAAAACATCAGCAATGACATACAATAACAAGTCCAGAAATAACACTGACAGCAACAAAGGTCTACAGAATCTACTCACACCCAATTCTGCCATGAGACTTTTCAATGCATCTTCTTGTGCAGCAGACCTGACCTTCTGTTTCTCAGCTTCTTCCATTGCCAACTCCAGTTCCTTCTGCAGCTTGTCAATCTCTCTCTTCTTTCGATCACCCTCCTCTCTGACCTCCTGCTTCCAGATCGCCTCCTCCGTCTTCAACTGAAAAACTCGTTTAGACTCTTCTTCTTTGAATTTGTCACTTAGGATTTTCAGCTCGTCTTTCAGATATTTTTCTGCATGCTCTTTCTCCAGCTTGAGTTTCATATGGCTGAAATCAGATAAAGAAAGCTGTTAACAAAGAAAAGTGACAAAGTCAGTACTTGGCAGAGACAACATGGTAGATACATACACTGGTAGGGATATATACTGGCACATACATAAAATGGCAGAGACAGATATTGGCACACACATAAACTGGCAGAGACATACTGACAAAGACATACATAAACTGGCAGAGACATAAAGTGGCAGCGGCATAAACTGGCAAAGACATAAACTGGCAGAGACATGAACTGACTTAGACATAAACTGACAGGGATATAAACTGACATAAACTGACAGACATAAACTGGTAGTGATATAATCTGACATGGAAACAAAATTGGCAGGGACATAAACTGACAAGGACAATATGAAAGGCAAAGAACCTAGTAACAACAAAAAAAAGATGATAAGGACAGGAGAAAAAAATCAGATCAAAGTCCTTTTTTTATTTTTACGTATATAATATATATTTATGTATGTGTATGTATACACACACATATGTGTGTGTGTGTTTGTTGTTGTTGTTGAATTATTGAATAATCTGGGTGATATGACAGTGAAATGAGAAATTAATGGGGTGAGGAAACAAGGATAACCAACAGAAACCATAAGATGAGAGTGTTGAGAGAGACCAATATCGAAAGAATGGCACAGGATAGAAAGGAACGGAGGACAAGCCCGTGAGCCTTTTGTAGCATTTAAAGGCACTAAAACAGATGCAAACAGTAGTGATAATGATAATGTGATAAAGGCTCTCAACATTGTTGCTTTCTAGCGATAACAATATATTTCTACCCTTTGATCTTTCCATAAAAGCCTAATTCTTCTCTTGTCATCCTTCATCTATTCATCCTGTAATCCTACAAAAGATCAATCAGTTGCTGATTACTGGGGATGACAGCAGCCATTTTTATTTTGTGGTTGACAATAACACAATTTACAGACAAAACCTGGCTTAGGTTTCTGTAACAAAATTGTCAGGCCGTTTGTGTTAAGCTATGAAAGTTGTGCAATTATTTTTACTGTCCTTAAAATTAAATAATGCGGACACAAACAATACATTGCACAATTTATTGCCAGGCATATTTCGCTGTCTTGTCAGGTGCATTATCACATGGTTCATCATCATGTAGCAGGTCCTTTGCAGAACGTCACTCTCATCACGGTGTGCCTGAAAGAAACTCGGTCTCTTGCCAGTTCTCCCGCCTCATGTACTTTCACACTCAAGGAGTCACTTATATCCTGTGCCCATCTTCATGTTGGTCGGCCCCTGCCTCTCCTTCTTGGTACCATGCCTTCTGCTATAATTTTTTATAATCCGTTGTGGCGCTTGATATGACCGAAATATTTCAGCTTTCGAGACAGGATGCTGTTTATTAGCCCATCCTTCCTGATATTCAGATCTTTTAAGATGTCAGTATTTCCTCTCTTCTTTATCCAAGATATTCTGAGAATCTTTCAACAGCATTTCAGCTCAAAAGCTCCTATTCTCTTTCTTAAGAACTGGGTACCGCAGGGTCACATCAACATATAATGAAGCACACACAAAAATGAATAAATCTAACCGAAATGCTAATGGTTTCTTGTTGTCTTTAAGTTAACGGATGTTTTTGTTTTTTTAATGATGCCTTGAAACAAGCTGCTTAATGCGATCAATATTGTTACTGACAACTCTCTTGTGAGTAAAGTACAGTGAGGGATCATTTTTACACAGGTGACGCGCCAAGTATATGATGCTAGAATCATATTTCTATTGACAATCTGGCATTTGATGGGTGATGTAGTCAACATAATGCCAGTTGCCTTTACTTTCCAGGAGATTTTCTGGTACCCATTTAGACTCTATTGTTAACATGTGAGAAACCTACTTGATATCAAGCTCCTTGTATCTCTCTTGCAGCGAACTGTGCTGAGACTGGAGCTGAGTCAACTGCTGCTGTAAAGCCTGCAATTCTCCGTGAGTCGCCCAAGCTGACTGCCGGACTTGTTCCTTCTCCTGCTGCAAGGCCTCCACCCGAACAATCAGGTCGCTCTTTGCATTCTGTGCCTGCTCCAAGTCCCTGGTAAGCCGGTCAGCTTCTGCGTTGTCTACGGACATGCTTATCTGGCTGACTGTGTCCTTTATGAACCAAATAACACACAGCAATGACAATTTAACAAGAATAGAAAAACTTAAGGCTGTGCATGTTCCTGGATCCCATATGGCGGGGGGGGGGGGGGGGGGGGGGGGGGGGGGGCACATATCCGCTTCCCTTCAACAAGCATGTTGTAAAAGTTGACTGATTAACTCTTTTGAGTTCCAGGGGGTTTAGCATCACAGGCCCAAGGGGTAGTAAGAAAGACGTAAAATCGGCGCATCTTGCGTTCATTGGGCTTCTAGGTAGGAATCTATGAATGTATGACCCGTTCCTTGGGACTCAAAGAGTTCAGAGTTTACTGACACTGGATGTGTTTGGGCTGAAAGGCGCAGATATTGCAGCCCAGGTGTAAATCACAGCACAATGTGTCAACTGCTGTTTCAAGGACAAATGGAGCAGAAGAAGAAGAAACACTGGACAGTGGGAAAATGAGAAAGACTACTCAACAAACAGATAAATATGGTCAACCCTTTCACCCCGTGAGCCTAAATGTAATCAGTTCCATTTGTGCCACATACTTAAAAATGCCAGTGTATGGCTACGTCTGCAGTGACATGTTTCAAAAGGTGTAGTTTCCCCACAGTGTTTAATAGGCCAGGATATGAACACAGTTACTAAAAATAGCATTAAGCATAGTTTCCTTATGACCCCAAAGGCTTTTTGAAAACCAAAGGAGATCAAAACAAACTAGGAATGAAGGGATACATAATAAACAAGAGCAAAGAGCAACAAGGTCTGTTTTGGGAGCTTTAAAATCTTGTTCCGGTCATCAGACCACTCATCCATCCTTGAAAAATGACCTCGTTCATAGTTAAGACGTTCTCAACCAAACAGGGATCAATATACAGCAGGTTTTCATCTAATATAGACACAGCAAGCACCTTTGTTCTTTTCTTTAGTTCTTTGTTTATGTTTCATTTATTTTCTCCAGGTCATGCCGGTGTGTTGAGAAATAAGCAGGCAGATAGACTGGCCAGCTCTGCTCCACTTAGTGGTGAACTGATGTATGACAAGCTGGATGTTGTGAGGACCCTTTGGGAGCGAGTGAACAGTGCGGATGCACAGATAGATCATTACGGTCTAAGGAGAATGGCGCTGTCAGGAGTTAGGGGATATGGCTGATGCTCAGGGGAAGGATGAGACGGATATACAATCAGATGGCTACTGGTGCCATCAGAATTGGAACTCTTTGCTTACTGCTGAAGATGGGGACAGAGCACTTATGGGAGTGTCCCAAGTGCTGTGATGTCAATTCTCAATTCAACATTCAACATCTTTTCATTTCACAACACTCTGTTCTTTTCTTATTTTTGGCACTTACAATTCTTTTAATGAATCAGGCACTAGAACAGAAAACAACCACATGTGAAATGCGCTGTCTCCGCAAGGTCACTAACAACACCAGACAAGACAGGGTTACGAATACCAGCATTAGAGAGAAAGTTGGAATAAGACCAGGTCTGGGTTATACTGACAGGCAAAGAATGAGAAGGTTCGGCTATCTAATGAGAATGCAGCAAGACAGACTGCGTATGAGACTTTTTACAGTAGAACATCCGAAAGAAAGGTGAGAGGAAGACCAAGAAAGAGATGGAGGAAAGGTGTAGCTGAAACCTGCAAAAAGATGAACAAATCCATCACTCAAGCAACCCGAGAAGGGCAAGACAAATACAGAAAAACATGACACTGGGCTACAACCTGGTATCAGCAAGACGACAAAAGAAAAAACTTCTTTTATTGTGTGGATTACTTGTCTGTGTGATTATATGTTTATTTTGTTGTTGTTTTCTTTTGTGGTGTCATCATCATTAAGTGCCTTGTCTACTAGCACTGGTGATCTTTCCTTTGCCAACTTATGATCTCCAACAGCATATAACAGCTAGCATTCTGACATCCTTCCAGGCAATAATAAAACATCTTCTCAATCTGTCTGCCTCCATCTCTCCACAAATCCTTCCAATCATCACAACATGTTCGAGTCCTTCTCTTCCCATAGTGTGGCCAATGTGTGGAGTAGGGTTCTCACTATTTTATTTGCTGATAAAGACTTTGGTGAAAACATTTGGTCAGACCTGTGTGTGTCAATTCTTTCCCTTCATTTAGCTTCTTAGCCATATTTTATGTTGCGATCAAATGGCATTCTCTACCAGCTCGACTGAACTCACCCCTATTTTTGACACCTCTTTATTTAAGGCAATATTTCCTTTGTCATCCTGCATGGCCTGAGCATTGAGGAGAATTGGCTCACGACCAGCATCCTGTCCTGAAAGTTGAGCTATTTAGGCCAATCTAAATATCACAGTGGCCAAGGACAGAGCGGTGACGGAGGGTACAATTTCTAGAAGACAAGGCGGAGGCAGGCCTCGAACGAACGAACAAACTTTATTTCCAAAGGGTTACAAACTGGGCATGCAGGCCTGTCTTAATATCAGCCCTTTCAAATATTTATCTTTCACACAGCAATTGTATTTTATTTATATGTGTGTGTCATATATCTGGAAAGGTAGATTCAAGACTCTGAAGATCGTAGTAGCTACAAAAGCACATAGCACTAAAGAATTGGCTAGAGAAAGAGAGACTTTCAGGGATTCTGTGACTCTGAAGATACACTGGCAACAAAAGCACGTAGGACTAAAGAATTGGCTAAAGAGAGACTCAGGGATTCTGTGATGAGGGCAACAATATGCTAACGAGCCTCTGATGCCACAAACAAAAGATCACACAATTCACTGCCTGGCTATTTTGCTTATTTCCTCAGGTGCATTTCTCAGTAACATTTGAATAAAATTAAGCAAATAAATTAGTTTCAACTGAAATTCCAAATAAACTACACTCAAAAATACCTACTTACTTACCAGGAAAAATGATGGTTCACAACGATGCCTTTTTTGTCTGAAAAAATCTGGGTTAAATTTATTTCCATGGTCGCTTTAACGAAGCGGAGCATTATGTGACTGGTCAATGTATATGGAATTTCAATTGTGTTGTCCTTGTTTACAACCTCTTTATTTAACACTTCTGAATAAAATACAAAGTAAGAGAGTATGCTGATGATGAAAGGAACTCAAGGGAAAAAGCTGGCCCCACAACACATTGCTCAACACAAAAGTGTCAAATGGTGCTAATCTTCACTCACCATGCTTGTTACACTTGATCTTCGACTGATTGGAATACTCCATGTGCCACCTGGCAAAGGTTTGCGACTAGAGAACAAAAACAGCATTCGATTAGCAAGTGGCCAGGTAAAAAGTTATTATTAACTATGTCCAAAATGATCGGTTTTAGCAGTAAGTGAGACAAACTGGTTTAATGTAGAAATCAGTTCAGTGTAGAAGTTTGGACATATGGGTTAATGCAGAAATTAGGACAGAATGAGTTAATGGAGAAATTAGGACAGAATGGTTTCATGCAGAAATTAGAACATAGTGGTTTAATGTAGAAATTAGAACATAGTGGTTTAATGTAGAAATTAGAACATAGTGGGTTAATGTAGAAATTAGAACATAGTGGTTTAATGTAGAAATTAGAACATAGTGGTTTAATGTAGAAATTTCAACATAGTGGGCTAATGTAGAAATTAGAACATAGTGGGTTAATGTAGAAATTAGAACATAGTGGTTAAATATAGAAATTAGAACATAGTGGTTTAATGTAGAAATTAGAACATAGTGGTTAAATGTAGAAATTAGGACATAGTGGTTTAATGTAGAAATTAGAACATAGTGATTTAATGTAGAAATTTGGACATAGTGGTTTAATGTAGAAATTAGAACATAGTGGTTTAATGTAGAAATTAGGACATAGTGGTTTAATGTAGAAATTAGAACATAGTGGTTTAATGTAGAAATTAGAACACAGTGGGTTAATGTAGAGATTAGAACATAGTGGTTTAATGTAGAAATTAGGACATAGTGGTTTAATGTAGAAATTAGAACATAGTGGTTTAATGTAGAAATTAGGACATAGTGGTTTAATGTAGAAATTAGAACATAGTGGTTTAATGTAGAAATTAGAACATAGTGGTTTAATGTAGAAATTAGAACATAGTGGTTTAATGTAGAAATTAGAACATAGTGGGTTAATGTAGAAATTAGAACATAGTGGTTTAATGTAGAAATTAGAACATAGTGGTTTAATGTAGAAATTAGAACATAGTGGTTTAATGTAGAAATTAGAACATAGTGGTTTAATGTAGAAATTAGAACATAGTGGTTTAATGTAGAAATTAGAACATAGTGGTTTAATGTAGAAATTAGAACATAGTGGGTTAATGTAGAAATTAGAACATAGTGGGTTAATGTAGAAATTAGAACATAGTGGTTTAATGTAGAAATTAGAACATAGTGGTTTAATGGAGAAATTAGGACAGAGTGGTTTAATGGAGAAATTAGAACATAGTGGGTTTATGTCGAAATTAGGACAGAGTGGTTTAATATAGAAATTAGAACATAGTGGGTTTATGTCGAAATTAGGACAGAGTGGTTTAATGGAGAAATTAGAACATAGTGGTTTAATGGAGAAATTAGGACAGACTGGTTTAATGGAGAAATTAGGACAGAGTGGTTTAATGTAGAAATTAGGACAGAGTGGTTTAATGTAGAAATTAGAACATAGTGGTTTAATGTAGAAATTAGAACATAGTGGTTTAATGTAGAAATTGGAACATAGTGGTTTAATGTAGAAATTAGAACATAGTGGTTTAATGTAGAAATTAGAACATAGTGGGTTAATGTAGAAATTAGAACATAGTGGGTTAATGTAGAAATTAGAACATAGTGGTTTAATGTAGAAATTAGAACATAGTGGTTTAATGTAGAAATTAGAACATAGTGGTTTAATTTAGAAATTAGAACATAGTGGTTTAATGTAGAAATTAGAACATAGTGGGTTAATGTAGAAATTAGAACATAGTGGGTTAATGTAGAAATTAGAACATAGTGGGTTAATGTAGAAATTAGAACATAGTGGTTTAATGTAGAAATTAGAACATAGTGGTTTAATGTAGAAATTAGAACATAGTGGTTTAATTTAGAAATTAGAACATAGTGGGTTAATGTAGAAATTAGAACATAGTGGGTTAATGTAGAAATTAGAACATAGTGGGTTAATGTAGAAATTAGAACATAGTGGTTTAATGTAGAAATTAGAACATAGTGGGTTAATGTAAAAATTAGAACATAGTGGGTTAATGTAGAAATTAGGACAGAATGGTGTAATGGAGAAATTAGGACAGAGTGGTTTAATGGAGAAATTAGAACATAGTGGGTTTATGTCGAAATTAGGACAGAGTGGTTTAATGTAGAAATTAGAACATAGTGGGTTTATGTCGAAATTAGGACAGAGTGGTTTAATGGAGAAATTAGAACATAGTGGTTTAATGGAGAAATTAGGACAGAGTGGTTTAATGTAGAAATTAGGACAGAGTGGGTTAATGTAGAAATTAGAACAGAGTGGGTTAATGCAACAAAAGCAACAATTGCAAATCAAAATATGATCATTCTCTCTCTCTCTCTCTCTCTCTCTCTCTCTCTCTCTCTCTCTCTCTCTCTCTCTCTCTCTCTCTCTCTCTCTCTCTCTCTCTCTCTCTCTCTCTCTCTCTCACAAACACACAATCACTCACTCACCCACAACAGAAAGCAAAAATTACAAATCAAAATATTATAATTCACTGTGTTTTCTCTCTCTCCATGATTTTCTCTCGCTCTCTCTCTCTCTCTCTCTCTCTCTCTCTCTCTCTCTCTCTCTCTCTCTCTCTCTCTCTCTCTCTCTCTCTCTCTCAACAGAAAAACAACAATTACAACAATAAAAGTGATCATACTATATCCTTTTCCTATCTCTCTCTCTCACTCACTCACAACAGGAAGCAACAATTGAAAATCTAAATATTATAATTCTTTAGCATAGTGTCTTCTCTCTCTTTCCACATTTCTCTCTCTCTCTCTCTCAACAGAAGAACAGCAATTACACAAAAAAAGTGATCATTTTATATCCTTTTCCTAGCTCTCTCTCATTCTCTTTCTCGCTCTCTCTCTTGCATGCATGCAGACCCAAACGCGTGCAGACATAAATAAATGTTTCCTCACTTTGAAAATGAAGGCCATGACACATCCAAATCATAACCTCGGGGTGAGAGGTCAAAGTGCAAAGAATTCAGGTCATATAATGAGTTGATAAGACTTTGGCAGGTCTTCTCATCCAACAAAACACTAGTGGTTGTAAACCAGTCACTAAGGGAAAAAAACAAATATATTCAATTATTCAAATACCTTCAGTTATTCAAATATATTCAGTTATTCAAATGTATTCAATTATTCAAATATATTCAGTTATTCAAACATATTCAGTTATTCAAATGTATTCAATTATTCAAATATATTCAGCTACTGAAATATGTTAGGTAACCGTGATTCCAACTTCACAGCAAACAGGTCACCCAGCCCAAAGTTGCTCCGTTCCTGTGCCAACAAAAACCACACAGAATGTCCATCACTGTCCTTTGTCACAAAATGGACACAGACTGCCGTCTCAGCTAATCCTAAAGTCAGTAGCACAAAAATGCAGTAAATGCATAAGGCAGCCATCAGAAATGCCAACACAAACAGTCTGAAACTGGAAATGCAGCTGTTCGTTGATGGAAGCACCAGTTACAATGGATGAGTTGTGCTTTAGGCACCATCCATTCTCTGGCAACAAGCCATCTGCCATAATCTAAATCTGCAGTTCACAACAAAAACCACATTAGGCACAATCAAAAAGCATTCCAAATGAAATCCACAGTTCCCTGTGTTGTGCCATGCACTCAACTCAGTAGCTGGGCGATGAAATTTCTTCTTCATGTTCACCAGCAATAAACTTCGGCAGAAAGTTCCTGTTGTTCAACCACTTCTGGACTCTAGCCATATTCCAGAACCTGAGTGCTGCATGCACATCTGTTAAACAGATCTGACTAATCTGTATGCAGACTGTTGGTTGCTTGCCTCTCTGACTGTCTAATCTATGTTGAACTATCTACATCTCTCTGCGGCCATCTTTGAAACAGGTCCCAAATTCACAGCCTAGCTAACGAGGGTATGATCAATATTTCTTTTCAAGTCGGAGTGCATCTGCCTGAGCAGCAAGGAACCAACATTCTGCACAAGGCTCAGCCAGATGCACTAGATATGCATGCAAAACTGAAGTCCAAAAGTGGATGAACAACCAAGACTTTCTTCTGGAAGTTTACAGAAGGTGAACATAAAGAACATGAAAAATAACAAGAAGGAGAAAGAGGAGGAGGAGGAGAAAGAGAAGAAGGAGGAAGAACAGGAGGGGGAGAAGAAGAAGAAAAAGAAGAAATTTATTTTAGACCATGTACCACGTGATTGCCAAGAAGAATGCAAAGAATATCATGGAAGAGTAGAAAAACAAACAAAACAGTCCTCATCGACAGATGAATGTAGTAAACTTATTAGAACAATCAGACATACACAGAGAATATTTTTGGGACATTTCATGAGAATGAATCGACTCGAGAATCTGGTGACAACTGGCAAGAAAGAAAGCTAGAGGAAGCAAAGAGATAACTACTTGGATGATATGGCCAGATGGATCGTACGAGACAAGAACACTGAGCTGATCCATAAATCTGGTGAGCGTGTGAACAAAACATGACAGCCTTTGCTTGCCAGCATGACACATGATGGTGATGTTGATGATGATGATGCGATGACCAATTTTAAGTTTTTACAATGAGTAATTCACATGGCTGTGTTACGAACCATGGACTAATTCTCCTTTAGTTTTATTCTGAGCAACACGTCAATACTCACAAAGTTTTGCTGTGAGTCACACACTGCTGTAAAGTGTCTGCCAATCTCTGATGGACCAGGCAGAATCGTATAAAAGCCCTGCCTCTTCCAACTGAAGTTTTATTCTGCAATATAACACATACACACCTAAAGATAACATAGATATTTTGAAGTTTCACCTTTACTGTACACTCTTGTCTCCTTCCATAGATCACAAAAGGAGAGTCTCTTTACGCTGCACAAACTCTCCATAATACCACAGATGATCTAAAAATGTGTCAATTTCTTCTTCTTAAAGTCATTGCCATGTGGCATTGGTAGTCATGTCTATCCTCAACCTTCTGTCTCGTGTACTTTCAGTCAACTCTAACACAGATGATCTTCCATGTCCTTATGTCAAACTGTCCAGCATCTGTTCTCTTGGTCTCCCTCTGCCTCTCTTCCCATCCAACTTTCCTACTGTCACCGTGTATTCCAGTTTTCTCCCTCTCATCACATGACCAAAGAATGTAGATTGTCTCTTTCTAATGTGGCCAATCAGCTCTCTTCGGGAGTCAGTTTCTTTCAACTTATTCAGCCTAAAATTTCAGAACTTTTCCTGTTCAACAGTACCTAGTCAAGATTTTACATCATTATCTCCCATGTGTGGGTTCTAAGGGAAAAAAACAGAAAAGACCCACTACCTCCCTAAGAAGCACGGCATGCAAGGTGATTAATTACGGTAGTTTCCTTCAAAGTTTGAGTGCACCTGCCTGAGAGGCAAGGAACCAACAGTCTGCATACAAATAAGCCAGATCTGTGAAAAGGATGTGCATGCAAAACTGAAGTTCTAGAGCAAGGCCAAAGTCTAGAAATGGACAAACAACCAGAACCTTGTGTCAGAGTCTACAGCCAGTGAATGCTAAAAAGAAAAAGATATCATCATCTGAGAATACTAAACACCTACTAAGCCAGGATAAAAGGAAAGTATGTAATCGGCTGATACTGCATTTAAAAATCGACACCATCCTAAATTCTCATTCCCATCCACAGCATTAGGAAAGACTGACGCAGGAGGGGAAACAAATTAGAAAACGCCATTCACATAAGCCTCAACTAAGGAAACTAACCAATACTTAATCAAATTAATTCAAGATCAGGCATGTCATAAGAGGCGACTAAGGGTCGGGTTGGGCTTGGGGTCATTGTTGTTATTCTTCTTCTTATTCTTCTTTTGCCTTTCTAACCCCCAATGGAGCATAGGCCCTCAACCAACTCCCACCAAGGGTAGGGCCAAGCTTGAAGTTGTTGTTGTAATTGTTTTTCTTCTTCTTCTGCCTTTCTAACTACCAATAGAGCAAAGGCCCTTAACCAACTCCTGCCAAGGGTAGGGTTGGGCTTGGGATTGGCCACCCATAAAAAACCATAGCCACAAAAAACAGCCAATGTTGGCGAATTTTTCTTCTAATTTCCCATGGGATCACAGGATAAATGAATATACTTAATGTGAGATCACAACAGTCAGGTCTACAAATATATGAATCAATCAATCAGGTGCCATCTCCACAGTAAAGGTTGGTTTCAATGGATCTCCAACATGTTTTTTTCTTTTGTCCTGGTTATTCATCTCTCAATGTTGCCCTCCCACTTGTTTCGTTGCACACTTTTTGCTTTTTTGTCTTCGAATTTTCCCTCTATTACGGTTTTTCAGTGTGTTATGTCTTTTAATGTGGCAAAAATATTTAAACTCTCTGTTTTTTATTTCTTTCAGTAATTCTCTTTTCATTCATAGTCTTTCCAGAACCTCTGTATTGGACTATTTTGGTTTCCATTAAATATGTCTTATTCTTCTGTATATCCAGATTTCTAGAGACAATTGGAATTTTTAGCTGCCTGTTCATTGTATAATTTCTGGACCATGCAACAGGATTTGATGTACATAACACTGATGATTCTCATTTTTAATGTGTTGTTTATCTCTTTAGCTGCAAATATTTGAGCACCTTATTAAAGATAGTATTGGCTATGTCTATTCTCTTTTTTTTTTTTTAGTTCTGTTTTGATTTCTATCAACATAAAGAAAAAACACATAATGTAAAAAAATCAGTAATGTGGTTTCTCTTAATAGTATCCCACTCCAAGACGTGGAGTCATACGCCTATTTGGCCAGTAATGCAGATAAAGATGGGGGAACTGATGGATATTAAAATATGAAGAGGAGAAATTTGTGGAGATTTAAAAAAAAATTGTAATTCTAAAAATCAGTGTTGCTATATGGAACAACTGAGAAAACTACTAATAAATTACAGACATTCATTAACTGGTGCCTGCCCAGAATAGAGAGAATTAAATGTTATGATAGCATCACTAATTCTGAGCTTTGGGAGAGAACTAAACAAGTTCCAGGGAATCAAGAAATGAAGAAAAGATGCTGGCTTTGGATAGGAGAAATACTGAGAAAAACCTGAGAACCATATAATTAGAGTGTCTTTGCAATGGAAGCGACAGGGACATAAAAATTTTAAACAGAAAGACCAAAAAAATCATCACAGACAAGGAAGATACAGAGTGAAGTTAAAAAGAGAGGTAGGAGAGGAGGTGTGCTGGATGCAATAACAAAGGATAGGAAAACACGGTGTGAGTTGGTTGATGGATCATGATCTACTGGGGGATCAAGAGCAGAAGACAAAAATGTAAAGTGAGGAAATCAAAGAAATTTTTGGACAACTGTTGGTATCAGGGGTTATAGGGTAGAGAAGATGGCGATATATTGAGCACATCAAGAGGAGAAGCAGGTGGAAAATTACCAGACAAGCACTGAAATGGGAAACAAACTGACTGCGGAAACGAGCACATCCAACAGAAACCCTAAACTGAACTCTGATGAAAGAGGCCGAAGAGGATGGATTGGACTCTATCCATGATACAGGAAAGATTGCTCAGGACAGAGTAAAGGAATAAACTGTGAGCCCTATGTGATGTGTAGATAGCTCAACGGGATAATGATGATGATGATGATGATGATGAGAAAGATGCCTCAAGGCAGTGATACCGATCTTTCAATTTTTAACCCTGATAACTTCTAAGATCAAATCAGAAATGAGGTCATAAGAGAAAAAGTAGGCACAGAACCAACTCTAAAGCAGAAATTTATGTCTCCCTCAACACCCAAAGTGGTAAAAGAGGAAGTGAATAAGAAGAAGAAGAAATGCTCTAACAATTTATATATAAGAAAATTATCTTACATACCTCTGCCAGACTTTTCACAAATTTAATTCCATCATTTGAGCCTTTGGCAGATGCTAAGCACTCACAAAAATAGTCCCAGTAATCTTTTTTGCGCCCCAGCAAAGATGTCTTTTCTGAATTAAAAAAATAAATGAATCATTCGTGTGTGAATGAATGAATGAATCAATCAGGTATTGACACAGTAAATACCTTTATACATGTTCCATTCTATTCTTTAGTTTTTAAAAAAATTAATCTGAATCAATATTTTTAAAAAGGGGCGTGTATTGGCATATAGGCTAGGCCTATATTATATAGACCAATTAGCACTAAGAGGGTGATATGGTCAACATCATGCCGGTTGCCTTCGCTTCTCAGGACTTTACCTTGTACTTATTAAGGGCTGTGTTGACCTGGGGGCCAAGGTCATTTCTGACAAAAGTTCAGCTCCATCAGGACTTGAACCTTCGGATCCTTAGGCCAGCATCTAGCCGCTCTATTCTTTAGCAGCCAACATAAAATGCGGACACTGATGGTACCAGGTGCAGCCTGATTAAAAGTATGACTGTTTTGTCTTCTGTGTGATGAATATCATTTCCCGCTCCCACCCTGCTAAATATCATTCCCCGCTCCCACCCTGCTAAATATCATTCCCCGCTCCCACCCTGCTGAATATCATTTCCCGCTCCCACCCTGCTAAATATAATTCCCTGCTCCCACCCTGCTGAATGTCATTCCCCGCTCCCACCCTGCTGAATGTCATTCCCCACGCCCACCCTGCTGAACTCGACTCTACAGGTTCTGCTAGCTGCAGTCCTCTTGATCCCAGAGAGCCTCCATCGTATCCACCTTAACTTTATGTAGCTCACCGCCAAGAGAAGCGGCAATTCTGTTTATTCCATGATCAGTCAATCAAGAAAAAAATCTCAATAATTTTAAAATACAAATTTCTGCTCACCTTTCGTCCCCGTCTGAGGCACATGTTCAGAAACTGGCAGCAGCCAATCTATCAGCATTTTTATAGTTTTGTTTGGACAGAGCCAGTTTTTTTTTTTTACTCCACGATGTGTCGATCATGAAAAAGCTCACCTTTCATCCCAATCTTAAGTAGATGTTCAAACTTGGCGCAGAACCTCTGAAGCACAACATTATCATCTGTGATTGGCTGATGGTTTTCAAAAAAATCTGTCTTCAGCTGAATTATGCATTCTATAAATGTCAGGAAAGAGAATCAGTCATGGATTATTTAGAATAACAAACAAAAAACCACCCCTAAAAATTGTGACATAAGCCATTATGGCAGATAAATTCTACAACAAAAAAATAAGTTTAAGAAAGACTTCAAACTTTATAAGAGAGCTAAATGAAAAAAAAAATCAAAAAGAACAGCCTAGTTCAAATTTAGTTTACTTGTGGAGAAGCGTTTAAAAACTTTACAAGGTACCATTACATTTAAGCAGAGGACAATGATTAATGCTTACTGCTATAAGTGTAGACAAGGTACAGTCACAAGGTACAGACACAAGGTACAGTCACAAGGTACAGACACAAGGTACAGTCACAAGGTACAGTCACAAGGTACAGTCACAAGGTACAGTCACAAGGTACAGACACAAGGTACAGAAGGAGTGTACAGACACAGTCTACAAACAGAGGGTACAGTCAGAGGGTACAGAGGGAGGGTACAGACACAAGGTACAGTTGGTCAGCATCTGTGGCTTACGGGTTGAGAACACATGGTTTGCAATTGTTAGGTACCCAGTTTGATTCCAGCTGCAGGTGACTTGGCAGTAGATTACTTTGCACTGATTCAAAGAAATGTTATTAAGAGCTGACAGTTAAAAAGCAATGCAAATTGCTTAACATAAATTGCTTGGTTTCCCATGTGGGTTTCAGGGTCCCATTATCAGTGGGGTAGTAAACCATAAAAGGTGATTAATAAGGGTTTTCCTGAAATCCAATTTGATGGGCTGTAAGATGCAGATATCACAGCCTAGCTGTAAACCCCAATCAACCATTTGGGGGGGGGGGGGGGGGGGGAGAACACAAAAGAGAAGAAGAAAATTTCCAGTAAAAGCTGGAACAGCCATCAAATTCTGGGGTTTGCAACATCCTCTTAGGCAGTGTTCTTCAAGCAGTCTGCCTTGGACAAGCCCAGGCAGGCCGGCACAAATTTCTGCTCAATCATATAATGGGGAAGGGTAGACAGTCTTTCTCTTCCAGGGTTGCAGTCCGTAGGATTACCAACTCAAGGATGAGAATCTTCTTCTTTTGCCTTCTAGCCCCCAATGGAGCATAGGCCTTCAATAAAAACATGCCAAATCGTTCTATCCTTCACTTTTATATGCAGCTCTACCCATCTCCAACCCTAACATCATTAGCTTCCTTCTCCATGTTTTTTTTTTAGTCTTCCTTTATTTCTATGCCTCTATGGGTGCAAAGACATGCTAGTTGTATTGCCCTCAGGTTTTCTCAACGTGTGACCTATCCAATGCCAGCGACTTATCTTCATCTCTTGGTCCACTGGAACTTGTTTAGTTCTCTCCCAAAGCTCTTCATTAGTGAAGAGAATCAAACAGGTACAAATTCTAGAAACCCCGTTCAACTAAATTAAACATATGAAATATATGCCAGGTGGGTTGCGAAACTATTTCCCCTGTTTTGCTGTGCCCCGGATGTAAAAAAGGTTGAGAAACACTGCTGTAAAGGATAAGCAAGTAACCTTTTGACAGACACAAGTACTTACCCAGGACATCTTGTAGTATTTTCTTCTGCATTGGAACTGCTGTGTTAGATGGCAAGGGCTCAGATACAGTGAAAGTTGGTGCTGTCGCCATGCTTCAGGAAGGTCTCGGTCTGGGGGAAGCACATGAATTTGGTTGTTTAGATTTAGACGACGGATCAACATCATGGCACAAGGGTAGTAACCCATAAGTGCTCTGTTCTACTTCTAACTCAAGCCTGAGTCCGAAAAATCTCAGCGCAGTGCACAAATTCTGTAGCACCGGCGAAGGTTCTGAAATACTTTGGGTGGATTTTCAACTCCAAATTTTGCCTGGGCATGAATATATGCATGGTATAGATACTGCATTTGGACTGTGAAGTGATAGGGCAACACAGATCTTGTTTTTCACTCTTTCAGTACTGGGTTTTTCCCCCACGTGGGTCCTGTGGATCCACTGTCGGCAGGGGAAAAAAGAACAGACCCACTACCCCCCTAACAAGCTTGTTGTTTATGTATCTATGCAGGCCAACATTTTATTTACGTCATCAGTACGAGTAAATCTCTGTCATAATGATAAAGCCATAACAAGTAGTCATATGATAAAGCCATAACAAGTAGTCATAATGATAAAGCCATAACAAGTACAGGGGTTACTATGTAGTTAAAATGTCATTGCAATAATTTCTGAGATCTATTTCTGAGTGAATTATTGGGGGGGGGGGGGGGGGGGGGGAGCAGGCAAAATTCAGGCCTTTGAAAGGATTAAACCAGTTTTAGTTAATTCCTTTGGGTAAAACTTGTTTAACATTCATCCTTTTTAATATGCATCCCACCATCAAAAATGGATTCATGATGAATATTGCAGTTCCACTGTACCAGGTTTCACAGGAGATGCCAAAGCAAAGAAATAATCATGAAAAAGCATGATTGCACAACTTTCCAAGTGACAATACAAACCGTGGTGATTACACTAGAAAAGCCAGATTTGTTTAGTTTGTTCGAAGACTAAGACTAAGACAAGGAGATCACGTTATGTTCCGGAGAGAAATTAAGGCATGGTGTCACTCACACACTGTGCACTGCTTACAACAGTTAAAAAGGTCTGAAGTCAAGAGAATCACTGAGATTTGAGGTCACTTTTATGTATAAGGTTCTATCTTATATGGCTCAGTCTCACTCCTACCAATAGTGTCACAAAGCTAAAACTCCAGAGCTCCTGTGAGATCCCCAAAGATATCCATAAAAACTGCACTGTGGGATCTGAAGTTCCATCTGAAAAAGAGGGAAGCCGTTTTTTTGGGGGTGCCTAGTTGACCATGTTGTTAGTGCACTTGTGTCCATGGCGAGGCGCACACACCGTCTGGAGGTGACAGGTTCAATTCCCGACTCGGTAACTATAGCTTACAATTTGTATGTTGTCTAGTGTGTTCTTCTATCTTTCTACTTCTTTCTATGAGTTCCGATTAATACACTTTCTGTTACTTTATTAATTCATAATATTTAACGGGCTCAAAGGTTCCCCCTCTGTTTATTTATAGGAATGACGTATACACACCGGAACCTACCAATCAAATACCTTTTTTAAATGTTTGTGCATTCTAGACAAAGCATTAAGGTCGTCTGTGTTCGTAAATTGTTGCTGTGATTGTTATTTGACATATGCTTCGTTAATATAAATTTCTGTAACCTATGGTGGCATTTCAATGGTTTGAAATGAATTCTATCCGTGTTCCATAGTTGTGGATTTTAAGCTGTATGATAGTCATGGCCAAAATGGGGGTGCCTAGCTGACCATGTTCTTGTGTCCATGGTGAGGCACACACGCCGTCTGAAGGTGACAGGTTCAATTTCCGGCACGGTAACTATAGCTTTTGATTTTTATGTTGTCTAGTGTGTTCTTCTATCTTTCTACTTCGTTCTATGAATGCCGATCAATACACTTTGTTACTTGATTAAATCTGAAAAAAGGGGGGAAGAACAGTCTCACTAACAAGCATTTTATAAAAGTTGATTAATTACAGGCATTTCCTTGAAAGTGGGAGTGCACTGCTTGAGAATCAAGAAACCTAATATCTGCAAACAGATATATAAAGCAGATGTGCATGCAAAACTCTCATTCTGAATTAAGACCAAAGTCCAGAAGCAGACAAACAACCAGAACTTTCCGCCAGAGTTAACAGCCAGTGAATACTCAAAAGAAGGACAGTTGGCTGCTTGCCAATAATATCTCACATAAACTCATTTATACATATGGGCATCTCTTGCAAAACCGTCTGGTACTAAGAGAGTTAATAATAATACAATACTGCAGTATTGTTTATCTTTCAATTCATAGTATGCTGCTGTCTTCTGACAAAGTCTTGTCAACCTTTGCCTGGTTGTAAAACTGACTTCACTTCATGATTTCCTACCTAAGTATGTGAACACTACAAATGAAACCTATGTGAATATCAGGTTTTCACCAACCAAATATATATATATATATATATATATATATATATATATATATATATATATATATATATATATATATATATATATATATATATATATATATATATATATATATATATATATATATATATACAGGTCATTACATTAAACAGAACATAATGGGAGTTGTTAGCCTAAAACATACTCAGGAGATAGAAGAATTTATGGTCATGTCCGATGATCTTTAAATTAACAATGGACCTGACGAATCAGAATCCTTAGGCACTTCCCGAATAGTTACTTTATAAGGAAAGATTTAATGGAAAGAAATAAAACCAAACAAAAAGTATATCACTTGGCTATCCTCCGAATAATGGTCCCAAATTACTGAGGCCAAAAATATACCCTAACAGGGTCTCAGTCACATGTCAATTGCGGACCTCCGGGGACTATACTGCCACCGCCAGACTGCGGACTTCCAGGGACTATACCGCCACCGCTGAGAATATCTCAGCGTAGCGACGTGGATTGAGGCTAAACTAGATTGCTGGGACTCATGAGCAAATAAAATTAAGGAAGCTGCAGGAGATATGGTAGCTGCTGCTCGTGAGTCCCAGCCATCTAGTTTAGCCCCATCCCACGCTGCACGCAGCGGCGTGGGAGATACTCTTGGCGGTGGCGGAAGTCCGCAACTGACATGTGACTGAGGCCCTGTTAGGGTATATTTGCGGCCTCGATAATTTGGAACCGCTATTCTGAGGTTAGGCTATCGCTTTTACTTTTATTACTTTATAATGAAGCCTGGACAAAATCACAGCATCACATCATCCTCTGTGACATTTTAATTTTAAAATATTTGTTTCTTAGCGTTGCACATACGCTACCTCTGCGCTCTGTCACACTCTGTTTAACAGTAGAACTTTTACTAGAAGTAATCCTGTTTTGTCGTGTTGTATACTAACTTAACTAACTAATAGTAATACTATTCGACTGTAATAAATAATACTATAATACTATTATTATTATTAATAGTATGTAGTAGTAATAATTA